TTTTTTTTTTTTTTCCCCTCTTTTTCCTTCTAAGAATTTCTTATGCTTTCAATATTTCTATTAAAATCCAGTTCAACAAGCATGAAGCTATTGCCATGAAAAGTCCTCCGATGAATTGTCTCTTCGGCTCCGGGCCGGCACACCGCCCGCCCACGCGGACTTATATTCCGCTTATGCCCGCTGATGTCCAGAGGCTGACGCGGGTAGGCAGTCAGGCGGCAACCATAAACGATCAGAATGGCGGGACAGGCCTATAATCCTGCGGTCCCTGAAATTTGATGCTGACATGCATAGCACTGGGTGAATGCAGGGAGAACAAGGGCTTTACATTTCTCTCTTTCACGTGGTGGCGCGGTTCAGCCTCAACGTCATCTGCCGGTGCGACGAATCATTTTGCGAGGTGATAATTCTGACGCATAAGCCCCCGTCAATGAGCTTGCATGAAAAGTTTCTTGAAACATCTGGAACACCAAGCTCTTCCTTGGACTACATAGTTGCTTCCCAGGATACATTACTACTGACATCATAGTATCAATTTGTGCAAGAATTGCGTGGACAGGTCGTAGGTGAGTGGACTTGAAGAGGAAAAGTCAGCGACGATACATGTGCTCCTGCTCACGTATGATCCGCCACAGTACGTGACCCAACATGGTAACCTCGTCGCCGTTGATTCCAAGAGCTCTATTTTCAAATCGGGTACTGATTCTGTCGTCGAGTGACAGATCGGATTATTCGCGGTTCCCTGTGGCGTCCCCTTGCGCAGGTCGCTTTGCTTCTTGTCGAAAGTAGAACGGCGACTGCTTTTCCAAGCAGCCGTGGCCAAATCCACAGTCAGAGTTCAATATCGGCAGCTTGTACAACCCGATTGCTTTTGTTGATATCACATGCGCACTCAACATATGGCTACTGCCATGCAAATAAACCAGGAATTGTCTTCAGCTTGACCTCGAGGTCTAATACGCCAAGTCTCGATGAAGTCCAATTACCTTGCAACAACGCCGAGGTCACACCGCTGAAGTGGCTGTTCATATCTGACCAAGTCTATGCTTGACAGCAACATTTTTGCCCACGACGTCGATGAGATCAGCATTTTGAGAGCCAAGAGTGACTCAACGAGCGGTCAGCTTCATCTCGTCATACGTTTCCTTTCTTGTCTAGACTCTATGTTCTCGGCATCAGCACGGCTTCTGGATGACGGCTTTGGCAACGCAAAGAAAAGAGCACAGACCATTGAATGCATCTGTTTTTGGTCCGAAAAATTTCAATCATTTCAGACGACCGCATCCTTCGGACCAGATATGCCTATGTGCTCGTCGGGTGGTTGTCTTACGGCCCCCCACTGAATGCCTATGGGGCCCTGCAGAGTTACATTTAGTCACTGAAATGGGCCAGGGCCGCAAGCAGAGAGGAGTGCAGCGGCGACAAGCGATCCGAGCCAAGTGGTTCTGTAATGCCCATGTCAAAATCCAAGACGTTACAAAATCTGACGGGAGTACCCCTATTTGGGATGGCAAAGAAAGCCGCAGCTTGTGTGTAAGCAACGGTGCAGACGAGCGACAAGAAAGGGAAGAGAAATGAACATGGTCGGCGAGCCTTAGGCAGCCCTATGAGGTCGTCCCGGGGGAGGACGAACCATGTCGTCGGTACATGGACCCGGTGCTGATTGGCCGGCAAGGTTATTAGATGCTGCGCCTCCGCGGTCCCGCTGCCGACATTGCATACAGGGCATACAGGGCATCCATCAGGTTAGGCACTCTTCAGCGGTAAGGTAAGCTGCTGTAACCTGACGAGACTCGAGTACCCAGACTGCTGGGATGGGTAGCGTGTATAGATTATACGATGTCAAATGATATGATTGAGGATTTGACGAATCCTGCATATCGCGACCTGCCGAGATGTATTCGTTCACCCTTCGGACCGCATGACTTGCCGGCGGGTCATGACGATTCACGCAGAGCTGACAGACGGACAGACAAACAGACAGACATTGCAGACCTGCAAGCTGTCTCCTCTTGCAGCCAAACACGCTGGCCGCATATCAAGTTATGTGCACAAAGCCCAACTCTTGGGGGGCTTTGCTGATCCTGCCCGCTAACAGCCATGGTCGCATTCGTACAAGTGGCATCGAAAGGGGCCACATTATAACAGATTGACCTAGGTTAGTGTAGTATTGGCACGACCGCGATCTAGGCTTGGACACTAGTTTTCCAGCTTTAGAATAGTGGGGAGATGAGAGACTGGAGACCCCTGGAGTCCGAGCAGTTGACAACCCAAGACCTTTTTTTTTTTTTTCTTAAACACGATTTTGCGCTACATCAATTTCGGTTGCATTGTTCTATAGCTTTGCATCCAACAGCCACAGTCGCGAAGGATTCGGTGGCAGCTCTCTCCAGGGGGCCTCCACTTGCCCTGATTGGTTGTTGTTGCGACGATATATGTATATTTATATTCTCGGTCACTGGGGCATTGTCTCTCTTGAAGCGTTCCGCCGTCAGCATGGCCAAACTCTTAGCATCGGAAACAGAGTGGGTCAGGAAGCGAGGCGAAGGCGACTTCTCTGAATCAAACGCAACAGTTAGGAACATGGCTTGATTGACACTTGACTCTTTCTTCTCTCCTTCGTCCGAGAGGATCCGGGGACCAGTATGGCGAATGGTCTGGCTGGGTCCAAAGTCTGAAAGTAAAATGCTACATGAGCCAAGTTCCAACCGACTACCTACCCAACCTACTACCTACCTCCTACATGCTACTACACGATCACTACGTACCCATTGTATGGTAAGCAGCGCCGCCCGGCCCGCAGACCGGTGCAACGCAGGGGTTTCCTGATTAGGGACATCGCACTACTCCTGTGTACCTTGGCAATACCATAGTAGTATGAGCTGCCTGACCGTAGCTGAACAGGGGTCAGAATCCACGAAAATCCTCCCATCGTCACTAGACTAGGTACAACTGCTAACGATTATTTCGAGCGACCGGTTGACACATGGCGGATAGGAGATCCTTTGCGTATTGGTAGTACGTACGTAGGAACCCGACGGTGCATATAAGTCTGTTGGCTTTCCCTACCTCGGGCCTGATCTACAGAAACATCTCGCTGATCATTCCAACAACGCAACAAACACTCTGAACTGTCTTATATCTCTACTATACTACCGCCCTGAACAACTTCGTTTCAAGTCCGTTCCATCTCTACTACTACATTATACCAAAGACACACAAGTCATACACATCCACAAAAACTTTCACCATGAAGCTGTCTCTTGTCTCGCTCTTTACCGTCGCCTCCATGGCATCTCTGGCCTTTGCTCTCCCGCAAGCCTGCCCCGGTTGCAAGTCGCCAGTCACGGCCGACACCATTGTCGAGAGGACTCCCGAGCCCGTAGCCGAGCCCGTCGTGGCTCTGCCCGAGATTGAAGTTCGCAGCAAACAAGCCTGCCCCGGATGCTAAACGCAACAAGAAGAAGAAGGAAACAAGATGACAATATCTTTTTCATGATATCTTTTTGTGCTGGCAAAACAACGGAGGCAACCCACCATAAAAAACAGCAAAACGCCAATCTTGTAAAAAAGAATACACACACTACAAAAAACCCCACCCCAAAAAACAATCACTTTACAAAAGACGAGAGAGCCGCGAGGCAAGGGAAATCAGCAAGACCGCTGATGTCACTGGGGGAGGGTCCGAACGGTGGACAGAAGAATCCCAGCCGCACTGACGAATGTGTTTTTTCCCCTTCTCCCTCTAGTGTTGGCCTAGTCTACCTAATCTAGCAAAGGGGGGACGAGGGACGTGTAATCTTTCTTCACCACGTGGGAAACAGGGAGGATTGCTTTGAATCTGTACATGATTTCTACTTCTTCTTTTTCTATCTCTTTGGTCAAAGTTATGGATGGGGAGGCAGGCTGGATTTGGGAAGGAAAATTGGAAAACCCTCCTTTTGGCTGGTGGTGTTTGATCTTTTTTTTTTCTATTCCATATTTGGGGGGAAACTTAGCAGCTTGTTATTTCTTTGGATATAAATCAGCCATATCAAATCCCTAAACTTACGTTCGCTCGCTTTATTTACACCCAGAACAACTTCTACCATGTATTGCATTGTACGGCCGTTTGTTTAAAACCCGCGCTTGTCTGTTTTCCAGGAATCTTTGAAAAGCCGATTGTTTGGCCCCTAGTCTGATTTTCGTCAAGCGGTAGTAGTTTTCTCTCTCCCCCATATTGGCCACCACACAAGTCAGTTCCTCGCTAGCAAATGTTCATTTCCGGATGGGTTGGTCTCATTTCTGGAGAACGAGTGCGCATTCCTTTGCATCCTTTGAGCATAGTGGATTTCTCCGTTACAAGCCGCGGAAACTTTAAATCTGAATGTGGCTCGTGCCGATCTTCTACAACCACTCTACATGACTCTTTCGATTCTGGCTCTTCGATAGCGGCGGGAGAAGATGTCCCGCGTCCTCGAGTCGTGACCTTGTGATAGTGCCGGAAAAATGTCCATAACTGATAAATGTAGGTGAATGCGAGATGTCGTTGATTACTTACATAAGTTGTCAGATCATCATGTTGTTGGCCGCATCCGAGAACCGACGCGACAGGCGTCTGTTTTACGCTAGAGAAGCGAATCTCACAGTGGCGTTACTGATTATGTGCATCCTTGGTGGGGACTCTCGGAATGTTGTCAGATCATGGAATTCTATACTCGCATTCAAAGCAGTAATAGTATACTTTTTGAGGATCGTGGTATTTTGTACTTTGTGTAAGGAGTTCAAGCCTTGCCCGCCACGAATTTAATTCAGAAACAATTGTGAACGCCTAAAATGATCTGCAGAGTCTGGACTCTTGGTCAAAAATGTGGCATGTTAATAACTTTCGGTACGTAACAATCATTGCTTCTCAGACTGTCTGTGGTGGATACGATCCCCTCGTGGTCTTGTATAACCATCAGTGGGGCGACCCTTTTGCTCTAGCTAATGGCATACTCTTGAGCTTGTGGTGCCACTTTCTAATGGGAATATGGTACTCAAAACTAAAGCGACATCTCGAGCCAGAGACAGTGTACGACGCGCGCCGCATTTCTGATGGTGCCATTGGCTATCGCGAATGAGCCATCTATGTAACTTTTCTCAGATAATGGGTCGCCTCTTCTTCTTTAGAGACTGTCGTTTCCTCCTGGCTATATCCGGGGAAAGAGGTTCTCGATGACTCAAAGAGCCGGGAGTCTCAGGAACCACAATCGGCGGCCGTGGTCTCTGTGTATACCTTGGGGGCCTCGTGGGTCTCGCTGGATATTGCTCTGGGCGTGGACGGCATGCGGCTGTCATTATGGGCGCAATCCCACCGCTGGTATCTGAATCACTCCTTGCTATGCTTTTTCCCTTTTCATCAGTCGCCGTGCGCTTGTCAGCCTTTACCAATACTCCAGCGCTGGCGCCCTTAGCAAGAGATGATTTCAAGTTGTCCCAGTTTTCCGTGGTCGACTTTTTCTCGTCCGTAAGCATGAATACAATGGCTGTCAGTACCCCAGAGCCAATGATGATGGTACAAAGAACGGCGCCAGCTTTATCGCCTGCTGTCACCGGGGCAAAGACGATTGAGCCCAAAGGGTCAGTACGCCCTATATCAGATCCGCCACTCGAAGGATCACCAGCACTGGTCCCGCCAGTTGCGTTTGTGACGGGACTCTCAGCCTCTTGGATCATGTTGGCAAGAACTACCTCCATGGCAGCCATCTGCGGGCCCACTCCAGTCGTCCCATCCCACGCTCCCGAGTTGTTTGCCCACTTCAGCCCACACATTCGACCATTGTCGCCGCCCGTACATTGCTTGGCGGCAGCTTCTGCCGAGCTCGCCAGGAGTGACTTGATACGGTCGTACGTCCAAGGTGCCCATTTTGTCGTGGCCGCCATCCATCGACTGAGATAGGCCTTGAAAGATTGCTCGTCCAGGTTGCAAAGCTCAACACCCTCGCAGGCAATTTCAATCATGACCGGTGGACTGCCATTTTCGTCGCTGAAGAAGAAAACATCGGTTCCGTTCAAAAGCCCGTCGACTCTTTCGTGCCACATGTCTCGATCACTAGACAATCCCTTTTCGTCTGCAAAGGCGTACATGGCTGCAGCCCCAAGCAGAAATGACCCTGCATTGTAAGAAAATTGGTAGGGAATAATCTGTGTGCAGTTCGTTTCAATATGCGCACCATCAAAGACACGGTAGTCTTGATCCAAGAATTCGACTTGCACCATCCAGTCCCACGTCTTGACAGCCCAGTCAGCATATGAGCTGTTCCCCGTATACAAGGCCAATCTAGCAGCAAGATTGAAGAAACACCCCTGCGAAATGGAGTTTTTGTAGTTGTATCCATTGTTCCATTGGAAAATTTGCCATCGTAGGCCTCCCTCGCAATACTGAGTATCCCATCTGGCGGCCTGCGTATTAAAGACGGCTTGGGCGAGTGCTAGCCATTGCGGTTTGTCCTCTGGTGGATCCGGGAATTTGTATTCTGCCGCCGACATGACGGCCATGCCCCAGAAACCTTGATCATCATTTCCTTCCGTCAGAGTCTGGTTTGGAGGCATGTAGTCGTCATACGGGCCAACCTGGAATAAAAGCCCGTCTGTCGTCAACTGGTTGTAGGTCGTGTCTCCTGTATAGTACCAGTAGTCGACTAATGACCCTAAAAAAGCACCGGCCTCCCACCCTACATATCACTTAGTTAACCATTATGATAATCATTGTCATGGATTGCTAACAGTAGTAAGGCTGTGGGAGAAGGCCTGGAGTTTGTCCAGGTTCATCACCGGTGTAGAATGCTATTAGATCGGCTGCCATTTGCTTGGACACGCTCTTTATGGAATCTGATTGTATAAAATCAGTTCTTGTAGCTCCGCAAAGATCCAAGGACTTTTCATACCTGACGAAGTGATATCCAAGTCGTATGCGGCTATGACGGGGCGGCAGCGCGCCGATATCAACACAGCCGTTGTAAGTGTCGTATGCCATGATACCCACATGATGGCGACAGGTTCCCGGGTAACAAGCGATGCGAACAGAGGAGAGACATCAAACCGAGAAAACAAGAAAGGCACGGGCTAGTTTTGAAAGAGAATAAATGGGATAATCCAAGCTGAAGCTGGAGCTGAGTAGCGACGATTGATTAGACTCTTCTATTGTGTCCCAGCGCAAACGGAGAAGCATAAGCATCCGCGTGCCTGAATTGCTTTTTGCTCCCGCAGTATCCGTCCACTATAGGGCGGCTGAGGAGCAGACAGTATAGACGTGGGAGTAAGTGGCGACTCCAGATCGTCTTCCTCGAACGGCTGTACCCGCAAGCATACCATTTATGACCAAAGTGGAGGAAGAAGAGGATTTACTCGCGTGGTTTTCAAAGCTTCAAATGACACGATTGAGGAGCGTTGGGATGGAAAATGGGAAAGCTTTTGGTAAACGTCGCATGCAATGTACGATGGGAACCCAGAAAGAATGCGGGCAAGGCTACTTGCCTACATGATGAATGACATGACGGCAGACACTTTCCCATGTGTGTCAGCGAAGTCAGTAAGATTTCAGTAGCTGGGAAGCCACCCGGCGGGACCTAGTGAACTGCATGGTAGGGTTCAATGTAGGTTGCAGCCTATAAGAAGGTAGGAGGCATGCCAAACTGCAAGTTCCGTCAACGCGGGTAGCGAGTCGAGCAACCCACCGACACTTGGGCTGACTGAAGTCGGAGCCACGGGTTTAACTTGACAGGCATTGATGGGAAGGAGATGGTTGGCAACCCGGAACTCCTACCCCAAATAATGACGAAATAGGACAGACACGAGGCCAAGACTTCCCGCCTATGTCTTTCTGCTGTCTACCGCCTACCAGAGGGGGGGGGGGGGGGGGGGGGGAGTTGATTGGAAGTTGGTCGTTTGTTTGCAAGTACGAATTTCACAGAACTCTGCTTCTTGTCATGCTGTTGATGTCCACGGTCTCGAGCACCTAGTTGTCGCCTTTCCTCATGCATGGCCTTGAAGAACGACGAGCCTATCATTTTCATGCGCGCGCAAAGTTTGTTATATGCCATGCGACTACTAATTGCAAGTCTCTTTGGGTAACGGCAAGAGACACAGAAAATGTCGGAAACCATGTTGAGCCATGCATCAGCACCACCTACCTTGGCTTATTAGCTTGTGACGGAAACGAGGGAATCAATCAATTATTATTATCACTCTCGAAAGCGGGGAAAGCTGGATGGAAGAAAAGGGCAGGTGTTGTACCGTGTAGGTGGTGTGAGTGTGAAATGTGCAGGCATTACATTACTATATACAAATGTACCATTGGTACACATGTATCATGTAGGCAGCAAAATTAAAGGCGCATACATGTATAACTGCAAAAAAACGTTACCTACATGCACCCACCACACGAGGGAAATGTAGATGGAGAGTGCATCAAGACGAGTTTGGCCTCTGCGATCTGGCCAACGCTTAAGTCAAAAATTGACTTCATTGGCTCGAACTCCCACTCGGGAAAAAATAAAGTGGATTGGTTTGCTTAATTATTCGTGACGTATAGAAATGATAGGTTACAAATGCTTTCTGACAGCCATGATGATCGACAAAGATGGTAGTGAGTTAATTAGCCGCTGAAAGTAGAGAGTAGAAGCAGGCACATAACCACGATATCTATAGCTAACTGTTATGTGCAGCAGATCCAAGAAACATTAAACCCCACGATTACAAAAACGGGGGGTCCATGCATTTATTTTGAGACTTCGGATGCGAACAAAACAAAGCTGGCATCTTATTCTCAGTCTTTCACGTGACCTCGTAATGTCGGCAATATTTGATTTAGGATCGTCCGGCCTGTGCTTACTGCTCTCACCTGCAACGGAGCACACCTTGGATCTCAGAGAAATGCTGATTTGGCTGATATTTGGCTGGCGCATCCGCACATGCAACCCGACAACGCAACGATAATCGATAGCTGGTGCTGAATTACTTTTTTCTTCTTCTCTGTTTTTTTATGATAGGGTTGACACCAAAAAGTCAAGGTCAGGGCCAGAGTGCAACCTACCCACTCAAAGATGTGTCTCAGGAGGGGTCTGGTTCATATCTGCCATGCTACCACTTGAACAGAGAGTTTTGAGGCGGCGGCGGAAGCCGAACCATTTAAACGAGCCCATTTCGTTCTGTGCTGAAACGGAGCTGCAACAGCTTTGACGGCCGACAAGCATTGACCACAAGCTTGGCACTCATCGCTGAGAGCAAACCAATCCTGCGAAAACTACAAGCCGATAGCAAAAGTCTGCAACGAGCATCTCTGTCTGGACATGTTGAGAAATGCCGGATAGATTATCAATGCGTGGAGGCAAAGGCCAGGAAACGTGGCGATGGATGGCGGTGGCCAAAGCCAAGCAAGCCATAGACGATTTGTTTATCACAAGTTAATCCAAACAAGGTCAAACAAGGAATCCATTGTAGCTTGGACCCAATTCCTTCCAATCGACGTTGGCCAGATCCTTGGTCATGATGACACCCCAGTCCCTGAGGGCAACAAGATCCGTAGCACTGCCACGGCGAGGACTACGAAAGCTCGAGGCTGATGAGGCGCCTATTTTGTCGGATTGCGCGGACGTTCCAGTTGGCCTTGGATTATTTACCGTATCGTAGGCAGCGATATTTGTTCTCAGCTGAGCCTGGACGTCAGTGCATAAGCTATTATTGTAACAAGATGATGTCGACGCCTTTGTTACCACCAGATGGTTTCCCCGGGGCTTGAATAGAAGAGAATCACAATCCCCATTGCGTATTGACCTTTTTTTCGTCAAGAGAAGAGACCCCGACAAAGCAAGCCTCCCGTGCATCACTGCCATTTAGGCGCTACCTACATTACTCATAGTACGTATTCGTGCTACAGTGCCACCACAAATAGTGTCATCCGTCCGAACCCCCCTTCTCACAGCCCCTTGTCCGTCGACGGTTCAGGTACCTACATTATTCATTGAGACTGCTAAAAAGGCTTCCTCGTCTCTCAAGCGTTTCACCAGGGCAACTGTAGTGTGGTAAAAGCACGGACAGTTGAGGATCCCGCCCGGTTCTCCCCCCAGCTCCAGCAAAAACCAAGCACAAGCGCCAGCACCAAGACAGCGCCCAACGTCAGGTCCCTTCCCTTGCGCCCAGTCCAAACCAGTCCAGTCCAGTGTATCCGTAGTAGTGTACAGGTGGTCAGCAGGGCCCCGAAAACACAACCAAGTTGAACTTTACCTCTACCATTCTCGTCTCTCTTCCAACCTCTCCTCATTCCACACTTTTTACGACCCAACCCCAACGATCACCAACAAGCGTCATACCGCCTACGAGCTCATCTCTGCCTGCGATTCAACGTCATTTAGTCGCCGTCGCATAATTCTGCCATCTTGGTCAACCTGATCACTCTCCGCCAATCCCATCAAATTTTGTTTTACTACCACAGACACCAGCTGTCAACATGTCTGCTACTCACGATGCCCCTTACGACCCATACATTCCCAGCGGTCAGCAGGCCGGCGCTGGCCAGCAGGGCGGAAACGCCAGAACACAAGCGCTTCAAGCTGTAAGTTTTTCCATGAAGTAGGATCGAGCCTGCGATCTGCGACCGATTTGTCTCGACGGGGTTACGAAGTGGCCATGTCTGCCGTAAGCGCTCGAACCTTTCTACGCATCCGGCGACAATGTCATGATCATTACTTTTGTCGCCAAATCCATCAATGTCATGTCGAGTTTCGACTACGGCCGCAATTTTCTCATCGCTGTTCCATTACGACTGCCGATCGAAAGAAACCATGCAAAGGTCTTGACAAAAGACAATACAATGGGAGACCGACAATTGGCGTCAGGCGGATCTTGGCAACGGAAGGAGTCGCGCAATCTGAAAATCGCTGCCGCCACTGTTCGCGAAAAGCTAAATCAAGTCTCTAATCTGATTTCGCTTTTCGTGGCCAATCGATTTATGGAAAGCGAAGACGCCGACAACATGAGCGGGACAGAAACGAAATAGCGCCAATTTTGCAGACATGGACAATCGTAACCTCTGAGGACTTGCGGCTCACTAGATCTTGGCTTTCATTTTGGGCGAGGCAATGCTGACTTTCCCTGTTTTAGCAAATTGATGACACTGTTGGTGTCATGAGAGAGAACATCAACAAGGTCTCTCAGCGTGGCGAGCGACTTGACGCTTTACAAGATAAGACCGACAACCTGGCAGTCTCTGCCCAAGGCTTCCGCCGTGGAGCCAACAGAGTGCGCAAGCAGATGTGGTGGAAGGACATGAAGATGCGCATGTGTCTCATTGTGGGCATCATTATCCTCATTTTGGTCATTGTCATTCCTGCTGGTACGTTCTCTCCGCTCTCATGGCTCCAGAGCAATCTACTAACATGGGGTTCAGTCGTTGCAACCAGAAAGTAGAGCAAAATGACACGAGACATGGGAACGACGAACGATATGGATGAATAGTCGAATCTCGCAGGCTACGAGCGCATTCGAGTGTTTTGAATGATCCGAACCACGAATGGGATTGATATCAACAGAGGAGTTTATTGTTCATTGGCTTGGCTTGATCTTTTTGTTTTCTCTTTGGCCTGCACGAATACCACGAGATCCAGCGCGGCGACTTCTCCACGACGAGAAGATCGTTCATATGGAAACGGTTGCTGCCGTATGTATGATGGAGAGACGATGCAGGGCGAAGGCGCTTCCCCGACTAATTGAAATATACCTTTCGGCACTTTTTGACGTGTTAAATCATGAATCATGTGACTGACAATACTGTCTGTGTTCTGACTCTGGGTAAAACTGTGACCATTCAATAATGTATTACTGCCACAAGCCATGTCTAGGTTAGTTGTAAAGTTTCGAGACTGCCCACAACAAGACATGATTGGGTCGTTCACACGGACCTATCCTATGAATGATTTGTTTCTTCGGCAGTGGCACGCTACACGTTATTGAGGATATCCATGCCAGTTGGCGCAGAATCACGTAATAAAAGCTATAGCTACTGCAATGCATGTGCCTTCCCGATAGTCTGACGCCTATAGAACAACAAATGTGTCCATCTGTCTTGTATTCCACTCGGCCGGAATTCCGAGGTAGTGGCGTGTTTGGTTCCTCGGAGGCAGCTCGTAATACGAATACACCAAGATCTACAACTACCGTAGCTAAGCTCCAAGTTTTATATAATATTGCTCTCAACCCGAGAATATACAACGGTGTGCTCCGGCAGGTAGCTGAATGGTGAAATTGGTTGGTAATTATTTCAAGGGTTCCCGGATGGAGCAACCCGATCTCGATGCGCTGTTTTTTTTTCTTTTCCTCCCCGGGGCCATGGGACATTATTGATCTAGAACTTGCTCTCTGCATTGGAAAAGTAGGTGAAAGACAGGAACAGGAGGTGAGGCCTCTTGGAGAAATTGTTCACCATTGACGAGCTCGAGTCGCAACATCCATATAGAGGCAAGCGGGAGGGGTGGGAGTCCTCAGACCATATAATACCTCAAGTACGATATGTAAATCAGGTGGTGTAATAAGTGACATGACAAGAGCTCTAGATAATGTGCTTTAGTGTCGTACCTGAACTGCTTGCTTCTTCCATAGTCGAGCTGCATTGATTTTGTGTTACTAGTACTAATTTGAGCTATGTAAAACCGATCAAGGTATCTCCAGTATGAATTTTGGTGAGGCATTACATGCATTACCTAAGAATGGGGCGAGCCGGGATGCACAAAAGCTCTGACTCTGACCTTGCATGGGTACTTGCGGTTTTCGGCGCCCAAAATTTTCCCCAGGCTCTGGTCAGTTCCAATTGCGCGCACACTGCCCCTCAAGAAACTGAAATTTACAATGATCTACTTTGGAGCGTCTTGACCACCACACCTCCATTGCTGACATTGATCCCGAGGTAAGCCGTCCTTTTGAACCCTTATATATCTATCTATACCAGACGGTCCCTTATCTGACTGACTCTCTACTTGAATACAGGTCGTCTGCTTGATTTCGAGAGCTTGGGAAGGCAAGGGAAGCTCTCGCCCCTCCGAACCCAGTCCGTTGTACACGCCGACCCTACGCCGCGGTTCTTCCACTCGAGCGCCCACGACCCATTCCGTACGCCAGAGCCTGCCCAACTGCGACTAGAAGCAAGTCGTGAGTTTGTCAATTCGGCTTTGCACTACATAGGCTTCTTACGTCTCGCCGTTTGTCCACCCCAAGAAACAACAAACCAACAAGAACAATGCTGTCCCGCGTTGCTGTCCGCGCCGCTGTTCGAGCCGGTGCTCGCAGGGTCACGCCTCGCGCTGCCCGCCTCGTGCCCGCCGCCAACGGTGCCCGTGTCCAGCTTGCTCCCTACACGTCCGGTCGAGGAAACGATTCTCGATTCATTCGAAGCGCCGTCATCAAGGTTCTCAACAGCATTGGCACGAAGCGCGAGGTCCAACAATACCTGAGCCACTTCTCCTCTGTCTCGTCGCAGAAGTTTGCTGTTATCAAGGTTGGCGGTGCCATCTTGACTGAGCACCTGGATGAGTTCTGCAGCAGCTTGGCTTTCCTGTACCATGTCGGTCTTTTCCCCATCATTGTCCACGGTGCTGGTCCTCAGCTCAACCGCCTCCTCGAAGAGGCTGGTGTTGAGCCCCAGTTCGAGGAGGGTATCCGTATCACCGACGGCAAGACGCTGGGAGTCGCTCGCAAGCTCTTCCTGCAGGAGAACCTGAAGCTGGTGCAGAAGTTGGAGGAGCTCGGCGTCCGCGCCCGCCCCATCACCTCCAGCGTCTTCACCGCTGACTACCTCGACAAGGAAAAGTGGAAGTTTGTTGGCAAGATCACCGATGTCAACTCGGAGCCCATTGAGAGTGCCATCTCCAACGGCTACCTCCCCATCCTGACCTCCATGGCTGAGACCCCCGAGGGTCAAGTCCTCAACGTCAACGCCGACGTCGCCGCCGGTGAGCTGGCCCGCGCCGTTGAGCCTCTCAAGGTCGTCTACCTCAGTGAGAAGGGTGGTCTATTCGATGGCGAGGGTCAGAAGATTTCTGCCATTAACCTGGACGAGGAATTTGACAGCATCATGTCCCAGAAGTGGTGCAAGTTTGGCACTCGTCTCAAGATCAAGGAAATCAAGGATCTTCTGGACGGTCTTCCCAGAACTTCCAGCGTGGCTATTATTCACCCCGCCGATCTCCAGAAGGAGCTCTTCACAGACTCTGGCGCTGGTACCCTGATCCGTCGCGGTGCCAAGCTCCTGTCGGCCACCAGCGTGGATGAGTTCAAGGACCTCGACCAGCTCAAGGAGGTTCTCGTCCGGGACCGTGATGTCACCGACTCCCGTGCCACTGTGGACCGATACCTCGACTTCTTGAAGGAGCGACCTTTCAAGGCTTTCTTCGATGACGGTATGAAGACTCTTGCCGTCGTCCTGAAGCCCGATACCAACAAGTCCTACTCGACTCTGGCCACCCTTACTATTACCAAGTCTGGTTGGTTGACCAATGTTGCCGACAACATCTTTGCCGCCGTCAAGAAGGAGTACCCTAGCCTGGTATGGACGGTCAAGGCCGATGATGAGAACCTGACCTGGTTCTTTGAAAAGGCCGACGGCAGTCTCCTCCGAGGCAACGACGTTCTCTTCTGGTACGGCATTGAGGAAGGCCAGGATCTTACCGACTTGATGAAGGACTTTACTCTCCACGGTCGTTCCATGTTGGGCGAGTCCAACTTGGAGGCTAGACTTCACCGTGCTGCTCAGATTGCATCCCAGAACCTGAAGAGCCACGCTGCCTCTGGTTCCATTGCCAACCAGGCCCGTGGCTTCTCTACTTCAGCCCGCCGCGCCGTCATGTCCGCCTCCAGCGGTTTCGGCCGATCGCGAGGATATGCCACTACTACCAACCCCAACCCTCCATACGGCAAGAAGCATGCGTCAAACGATGTGCCGTCGCGGGTTGCCCTGATTGGTGCCCGTGGTTACACTGGTCAATCCTTGATTGCACTCCTTAACAAGCACCCCAACTTCATTCTCAAGCACGTGTCTTCCCGTGAGTTGGCTGGACAGAAGCTCCAGGGTTACGACAGAAAGGAGGTCACCTACGAGAACTTGAGCGTCGAGGAAGTCGGTCAGATGGAGGAGCGGGGTGATATCGACGTGTGGGTCATGGCTCTGCCCAACGGTGTCTGCAAGCCCTACGTGGACGCAATCGACCAGGCCAGAGCCAAGATTGGCCAGCGCGAAGACAACAGTGTGGTCATTGACCTTTCGGCCGACTACAGATTTGACAACTCGTGGACCTATGGTCTTCCCGAGCTCATCAAGCGTTCCGACATTGCCCAGGCCACCCGCATCTCCAACCCTGGTTGCTACGCCACTGGTGCCCAGCTTGGTATTGCGCCTCTGGTCGAGTTCCTCGGCGGCTCTCCTAGCGTCTTTGGTGTCAGTGGCTACTCTGGCGCTGGTACTAAGCCGTCGCCCAAGAACGACGTCGAGCTTCTTGAGCACAACTTGATCCCATACAGCTTGACAGACCACATTCACGAGAAGGAAATCAGCAGCCAACTGGGAACTCCTGTGGCTTTTACACCCCACGTTGCTCGATGGTTTCAGGGTATTCACCACACAATCAACATTCCTCTCAAGCAAACCATGACCTCGAGAGAGATCAGACAAATATACCAGGACCGATATGCTGGTGAGAAGCTCGTCAAGGTCATTGGCGAGGCGCCCATGGTTAAGGGCATCAGCCAAAAGCACCACGTCGAAATTGGTGGCTTTGCTGTGCACAGCTCGGGAAAGAGAGTGGTCATCTGTGCCACCATTGACAACCTGCTCAAGGGAGCAGCAACACAATGCTTACGTAAGTTGTCTCACGCAATACGTCATTGATGAGAAACAAACTAACCTGCTATTAGAAAACATGAACTTGGCACGTGGTTATGCGGAGTTTGAAGGCATCCCTCTGCCGGAATAGATCAGGTAGATAAAAAAATGGGCCGGTTTTCTTTATTTTGAATTGGGTTCATCGGGTATTTTTTTGTTATTTACTGCGGAGTTGCTTCTTTCATTGATATACCTCGAGACCAATTGATATCGTGTTGATAGTTGTTCATGTGTTTTGTTAGTGTGGCTTGTATCGGGCGTGACTACATTGTTTACCAGCAAAGCATAGGATCAATTCTGGCTGTCTTAAATGTGCGCGCATGGCATTATGATGGATTTCTCCGAAAGGTCGAAAGCTGCCTAGGATATATATGCTTCAACTCTGAGTTACAAAAATGAAACAAGAATACTAACATCATTGATTGCTCATTTTTCCGCCTAGACAACTCTCATTAAAGATGATGCCCTTTTGAATGACACGAGAGAGAGAGAGGAAAGAGCCGGGCTGAGGCGCCCATGAGTAGAGACGCGTACCAGCGTACCAGCGCTTCGAGTGACGAGGTTGTTGGACTCTACTGCATATATTCTCTTACGTACCAGGTTTGATTACTATACTGCTACGCTGTGCAGAAAGATTCCTCCATGGTTAAGATGAGATCCCGATTCTGCTCTGAATAATGTCATGTAAAAAAGAATGGGCACATCTCATTCGTATTGATATCAATGTCAGATGAATGCTAATAACAACCAATATGCACTATCTTGACTCATTCCAGTAGTCCAGCGGCAATGGTTTCTCCATTGCTTCTCAAGACGACTCTCTGCCCAGCCTCCAATGGCACCTTGTTACTCATCTTGACTACTACTCTGGCCACACTAGCTGGCTTGACGATCTTTGGCTTCTTCTTGAGCACAGTACCCTTGACCTTGTCCAAAATAGCTGGCATTTCCACAATCTGGCCGGGTGCCCACATCCGTCCGCGGTGCACATCAACTTGCATCGGCATCAAGATGTCGAAAGCCAACGCCTTGATTGTAAAGGTGTCGATCGAGTTGACAGGCGATTTGGGGTCGCAGACGATATCTCCGACGCGCACGTGGATGGGGTCAATATTGGTCAGATGTATCACCACATTCTGTCCCGCCACAGCCCAGTCAACTGGTTCAGAGTCAAGCTCCAGGGACTTGACGTAGGCCTTCTCTCCGCTTGGCTGCACCAGAAGCGCATCTCCTGCTTGTAACGATCCCGCATCGATCCGTCCTGAAATAGTGAGCGGGCTTTGGGCCGTTCTGAAGACCTCAGAGATTGTTAAACGCAGCGGCTTGTCTAGTGCTCTTGTCAAGGGCTCCGATTTTTCGAGTTCTTGAATCAGAGTATCGCCCGTGTACCAGCCCGAAGCTGGGTCTGTTGATTTGTTGACCAGGTTGTCGCCGTTCAGACCAGAAACAGGCACGAAGCTAATGTTCTTTAGCTGGAAGCCGGTTGTCGACATGAACCCGGATACTTGATGTGTAATCTCATCGAACCGCTCCTGCGACCATCCAACAGTGTCTAGTTTGTTGACGGCAACAATCACTCGTGACACTCCCATACTCCTTATCAAAAGGGAGTGTTCCCGCGTCTGTCCCTTGAGACCTGATTCAAAGGAGCCCGTGGAAGCATCAACCACCAAGATTGCAAAGTCGGCCTGACTTGCGCCTGCAATCATGTTGGGAATAAAGTCTCGATGGCCAGGAGCATCCAGGATAGTGAAAGACGTCGTCTCGGTCTCAAATCTGTTTGTGGCAATATCGATGGTAACGCCCCGGCTGCGCTCTTCCGTGCGTTGATCGAGGACCCATGCCAACGCGAATGACGATTTGCCCATTTGCTCCGCCTCTTTGCGGTATCTCTCTATGGTTCTTTGGTCTACCACATTGAGATCAAGGAGCAGCCTTCCCATCAGAGTACTCTTTCCGGCATCAACGTGACCTGCTCATGTCAGCTACTGGTGTTGCACTCAACTTGGCCAGTTTTCTTACCAACAACGACAAAACTTGCACTCTTCTTGCTCTTGCTCTTCTCGTACTCGCTGAGCACATTCAGGTTTTTGCTCTTCGGCAGGGGTGCATCATCGAGCTTGATGGCCTTGATCCCATCTGCAGTTTGATCAACCTTATCGTCGCCGCCCTTCTTCTTGGTTGTGTTGGCAAGCTTCTTATTGCTAGCTAATGAAGGCTGTCAGTAACTGTCCTGCTATGCCTTCCTAGCACTTGAAAGCGAACCTTTCGCTTGTGCTGCAAGCACCACATCATCAGGACTAGGCCCTGAGAATGCGTCAAGTACGGAGGACGATGATATAAAAGCCATATACGGAAGAGCATAAGTCCTGGGTGGTGCATGAGCAGGCGAAGCAGATCCCACAGATCCTAGGAGGGTTTGAGCAAAAGCAGAGGGCTCGGCTGGCTCGACTGGAGTAGCTTCTTCCATCTGTACATCCTCTGACCTCGGGGAAGAAGCTTTGGCAGGTGGGCCATCAAGTTGCACCAGATCGCTCGTCTTTCTCTTCAAAGGTATAGTTGGGGTTGCTGTCGTGATGGCTGCCTCAGCCGGAGGGGAAACAGTGGCTGTGGATGCTGACGCTGGCGCGCCTCTGGTCTTCGAGCCTAAAGACAGCTTGCTGAGGTTTTGTGTAGTCTGTGAAACTTCACCCTTGGGTCCGCCAGCGCTCTTGGCTTTCTGTTCCTCTGCTTTTCTTTTACGTTCGGCAGCCAGTAGTTGTAACTTAGACATCTTGGGTTGGGCACCTGATCCTCCGAGTAACCCTCCACGGGGGCGCAGCGGTTCGATCAAAGATGCCTGCCGATCTTGGGGTGTATTCAACCACGGCATGTCGTGGAAGAAGTCGGCGAAAGAGGAGCGATTTGAACGTCTTGGAGCCATGACATCTGCTGTAATTCGGATCAGCGACGTAGTCCAACCTCGGTGCTAATGTTGACCGGTACGTACATGTAGTGCTTGAGACAGCTACTGTAATGGACTGAAGCCAGCGGTTGTCACATACATGGGCCGGCCAGGGATCTGCTCTTCTGCTCTTGCATGCAAAGATGTGTGCACAGGTCGGGAAACAAAAATCTGACCTACCTGGGTCTTTGGTCTTCACAGGGGCGCTCTTAGCGGCCTTGGGAGCAGGTGGATCGATGAACTTGGTGATGAGGTAGGTGACCGACTTGTCGACGTCATAATAGTAGTGCCACAGGGCTTCCTGTATCTGCGCCGTCGTGACCTTGGATGCTTGCGGTCCGAGGATGCTGCGAATCTCAGCGGTGCACGCTTCCATTTGTTCTGGCAAAGAGAAAGCAGTATTAGCATTGTGTGATCTCTCATTGGCGCTCAGCTCCTCGAGCTCTTGCGACTTTGCGTTAGCATATGGGTTTCGCGCACCTTTGTCCTCAGCGCTCAATCCTTCCTCTTCCTCTCCCTCGTAATCGTCTTCGCCGCCGTCGAACTCATCGAGGTCGTTCTCGTAGTCGTAGTTTCGGTATGCCTGGTGTCGAGACATTGTTCGCAAGTAGGGCGGGGCAGCGCCGCACCTCTTCGTCTTAAGGGAGATCGGGTTGTCGAACTTTTGGTGGTAACTTTGCATGCGACGACGTGTCTGTAAATTTTTCGCCCACTGTGAGTAGAGTCGCGCGTGAAACAAAAGATAGAATAAGTTGTGTTGGTGGTATAAATAGTAGCGAAAAGAAGCAGATCGACTCACCAATTATGCTTTGCTATTTACTACCCTGCGGTCCAACCTGGGCTTTGTTCTTTTTGGCGGGGTTAAGGCATGACTGAATTCAAATGGCGGGGCATATAAGGGCCGAAGACTCATCGGCAGCTTGGATTTCTGCTATGACGTAACGTATAGATACGGCAAATGTACAGTATTGATCTGTCAAGTAGTTGCTATTAGCTTAGAATTTTTGTATGCGTATTCACTGCTTTCTGGATTGCTCTATAATACGTACAATAAACAAAAAGACCTGAAGAACATGGCAACATTTTCCAACTGGGATATACATATACCTTGAGAGCAAACAGTCAAAGATCTTCGTTGCTGAAGCACTCTTTGTTACCTAGTAAACTATTAATTAAACCATAATATATTCGTGAGCAATCTGAATCGAGTTGAATATGACACATGGTATTATTTATTAACCTTGATCTTAGATAGAGGCCTACAATAGAGAAATTACAAGTACTGATTGTTTGATCTTGCAGTCATTCTGTTGTATCAACTGCTCAAGAATCAGGTTTAAGCTTTGCTATCATGGTTTTTCATGCCCAAATTCTACGTCGTATTGCCAATCACATTGACTTTAGCTTGACTTTCAAGATACCATGGACAAATATGAAACTATGCCTTACATTGTGCCAGAATAAATGCCAACTTGGGGAATGTATTGATCCTTGCCGGCAGGACAATTCATAGTAATAACTGCCAAGCCTGCTTGTAAGATGCAATAAATGCAGATATGGTTGAGTAATAGTGTACGACGAGGTTTGCATTTGTATTGTGACCCGTCTCATCTCACCATGTCCAATGTGCCTATAAGTCATCCTTGGAAAAGATCGACATCGCGCAGGACGAAACATGTCTTTTCCGCAGAATTACAAGAAACATATTTCTCAAGAATGGAAGCCTGTGTATAAATTTCCGAAATGGGAGAATGCTGAGATTCTGAGGTTACTGCACCTCAGGGAAAAGTGCACAAGAATGTCGGACTAAACAGAGTGGAATTCACTTCAAAATCCACGAATAAGTCTGCCCGCAAGAGTGGTTTGACCCAAGCCGCCTGGATAGCGCCTCCCGTTTTGCCATTGAACGCCATGATTCGCCAAATGCATGTCAATCCTGACTACCGGATATAACAGGACATATATACAGTTGCGACTCCCCGCATTATACTTCCAAACACACTGGGTGTATATCACGACAGCCATTATGACACTGGTAGGTTTGTCCTTGCTTTCACGAACTACTCTCTTCCTCTTGGGTATGCCCACCTCTGGTGCTCTTCTCTCCCGTCCTAACGAAGCTGGCGATTTGCTGATTGTCGTCTCGATAATCGGCAAATCCCTTCGACGTAGGGCCCCTGGCGCCGCCTCCTGTACTTTCGCCATGCTTCGGCAGGCGTTCTCGACGCCGACTCCGAGCAGGCTACCCAAGCTGAGCGCGTCACCTTCACAACGGTGCTGTCGGTGCTGTCAGCGGGTGATATGGTTGTGGATGTCTGAGCCTATTCCGGCCACGGGCTCAATATCATCCGGCCAGGAATATCCCTAGGAACTCTTCCCTGTTCACGCCACCTTTGTCCTCAATATCGAATTGCTCAATCATGCTCTGCATTTCGTTCTCTGGTACGTCCTCGCCCAGTTCTTTGACAACTATTCTAAGGTCGTCGATGGTTATTATCCCCTTTCCACCTTTATCGAACATGGCAAAGGTCCTGAGCAATTCTTCTCGGGGGTCGCGTTGCGCCAAGTACTCTGCTGCGATCGCCTGAAATCCTTCTTTCGAAAGCCGCAAGTCAGCGACCACAGGTGTCTGCGACGGTGGAGGTTGATTTGGAATAGTGGGAAGCGGTGTCCAGTCCGCTCGTGGTCTCGCTCGTTCTTGGAATCTGGTGATCAGCTCCGGTCGCGACACCTGCCCGAGACCCAGCGACTGCAACGCATAGCGAAATTCGGAAAAGTCGAGCTGATCATCCTTGTTCATATCGAAGAGATGGAAACAGTCCTGTATTTCGCTGCGATGCTCGTCGGATATTTGATCCCAAGGTTCGGGCTCCTCAGGGTTCTGGATGGGCGGCGCAAAACGCCCGCCCGGTCGAATGGTAGTCGAACCTGGCCGGGCAGGGAGTGAGCGCGTTCCCATTTGCCTAGCATCACGATCTATTGGCCCCCTCGTATCGTTGTAGTTGTTTATCATGCTACTTGCACCCCCATAGGCTGCCATTTTCGTGAAAGCCTATACGGGCAGCACCAGCAAGTGCTGCGGTTATGTGTTATGTGTTCAGAATTCAACTCGATCTGGCGCCTCAGGTGATGAAGGACGAGAATATTGCGCCTTGTAGGAGCGAGGCGATCACTCCAAGAGTCGCTAACGCTTGGCCAGCAGCCGACGGCTATGCGATAATTCTGGCGTATTGAGGACGGCAAAGTGGTGAGCCGGTAATGCGACCGACCGACGCCCTTTGGTTCAATAGTCGAGTGTAACTACAAGTCACGATGGCAACTAGTTGCAACAGGCTCGCCTCGGAGCGACGGGGTTGAAATAATTATTTCGAGTCGGAAGTATCAGGGATGCATTCGAAAAAACTGATGGTGTTGGCGGAGGCCCTTTGCAAGTGTTTTGCGATGCAGGGCTGGTTGTCTTTGGGATAGATCCAATTGTTTGTCCAAAACAACAGACAGGAATTGACGAGAAGAATATGGTATCATGCAATAATCAACACAAGTGAACAGCTTTAGGGTCGCGAGCGGTGTTGTCTCGAGAGCATCGCGCGCACTACGCACCATTCGACAGCAGTGATAATTGGGTGGCCGGGGGGCCTATGGCGGCGCGTCCAGGATCGTGTGCGACCGCGAAGCTCGACCAGGTTAGCCTACAATAGGTGGGCGAGGGGCAGTCGCGACTTTTGCGCGTCGCCCCAATCTGTCTGGAACTTTTCCAATTTGGAGGCCCGTCTCCGTATGCGCCGCGACTTGTCACTGTACGGGCCCGCGCAAACGAGCTGACGGCCAAATCTGCCTTGCTTAAAAATCAAGACTGAAAATACAGTGCATGATTGGTAGAGCATCTCGGCACTCTTAACTCCCGCTACGAAATGACTCCGTCTTACATATCAGCTCATCCTGCCCACAAGCTGAGCACATCTATAAAAGGGAGCTTTTACTGCTTGCTACTACGCTGGATTTTTGATTTCATCTTATCCATCAGTAATTGCAAGAGAGGGCGTGGGACTACTGGCAATCACTGAGCAAGCAATAGAACACTGCGTATTTCTTCAAGTATCACACACTGGCTTCATCATCAGTCTGGCATGAAATACGGTTCTCCACGAAAAGTGACGTTTTGATGCAATTGCAACCGTGAAGAACATCAAGAACCCGACTCGTTCATCTGTTGTATGACTTTTGTTATTACTGCATCAACGTTTTGGCCTGTCTCGTTTTTTTTGCTGCCCATTCCTCCCTTTAGAAACGCGTTTGCATGCTGTGACGGCTTGACCTTGTAGTGGCCCAAGCTTCTTCAAGCCGCCCAATTGCTTGACTGGCCGCTTCCTGTGCTGGAGCCACTAGCAGCTGCAGAAGCTTCCTACCTAGGCTTTGGCAAGCTCTTTTTTTTGCTCTCAAGACCGGGCCCCAGTTTCCTTAGCCAGTGCATTCATTCAACCCCCAGTCACCTTGGGAAATTCTGCGTGTCTGTCTGCCTCTTCTGCCCCAGCCGCCTTGTCTCAATTCGACCTCACTGCACAGGCATCATCAACACCAAGCCCAAGCAACTGCCATCGGGCCAGTTCCCTTCTTCCCTTTTTCGTCATTGTTGGACCTGCATTCTGGCATTGGTTCAGCAGCGTTTTCTTCACGAACCGCGTCGTGCTCGCCAGGCTGCTCCAGCTCTCTTTCGTCCTAGCCCAACCTGCTCGATTTGCGCGCCCCTGCAAAAAATCGCAATCGTCAGTCACTGAATTCCTCACCCGCGAACCCGACTTCTTTCGCAGAACACAACGCCAGCATATCTCCTGTGAAATTTCGTGTGCGCTCAATTGGTGAAAAGCTCTGCGGTCTTTGAACACGGCAAAGACTCAGCAGCAAGCACTTCCGAGTATCGTTCGCGCCTCTTTGTATTTTACTCGGCTATCCCATGTCTTCGAAAACCTAATTCGAGCTCTCCATATCCCGTCTCACACGCGTCTGACGCGCCCTTCCTCACCACATCTCCAATCCTTTCATCGGACGAGCTTTGGAAAACTTCAAAATGTCGTTTGGAGGAGGATTTGGGGGCTTCGGCTCCAATACCAACACCAGCACAGGCTTTGGAGGATTTGGTAGCAACAACACAACCAATGCGGCACCTACAGGTGAGCTTTCTTAACCTATTCACATATACACTCGAGAGGACACATCCTAGAGTCACCTACGCAGCACTTTTACTAACCATTGCCATGTGTAGGTGGATTTGGCTCAACCAACAACACCTTTGGCGCCGCCAGCAACAACACCAGCGGCGGCCTTTTTGGAGGTGGTAGCAACACAACAGGAGGCTTCGGCTCTACTTCAGGTATGTTCTACTTTCCATGATAACTTCAAAATGCCAAGCAACTAGAGTCTAATGTGGCCATGACAGGTGGTTTTGGCTCGAATACCACAGGTGGCTTCGGATCGACTGCAAACAAGCCTGCTTTTGGTAGTACAACCTCTACTGGCGGTGGTTTGTTCGGTTCAAGTAACACTGGCACAGGCACAACGGGCACCGGCTTCGGCGGCTTCGGCAGCACGAACAACACGTCGACGACAAACACCTTTGGCAGCGGCAGTACCGGTGGCGGCCTATTTGGCGGTACCCAAAACAAGCCTGCCTTCGGCGCGTCCACGACGGGAACTACTGGCGGTGGTCTTTTCGGCGGCGGCGGCACGACTACATCGTTTGGCTCAGGTAATGCATTCAACGCACCTGCAAGCACAGCCCTGGGAGCCCCGGTTGGTGATGCTCCTGGAACCGCAACCACCGCGTTCTCGCCCACACTGGAAAAAGAGTCTGCCGCTAGTCTCGCCCAGAACTCGTTTCAGAGCATTCTCTTCCAGGAGCCCTACAAGAAGTGGTCCGCCGAGGAGCTGCGTCTAGCCGATTACGCACAGAACCGTCGTTTTGGCAGTGGTTCTGGCCCTAGCTTTGGTGGTGGTTTCGGAGGCTTTGGCTCCAACACAAACACAGCTACCACGACGACCAACACCTTCGGCTCTGGATCTAACACAGGTGGAGGCCTGTTTGGCTCCAACACGGGCTCAACCGGATTTGGAGCAAACACGAACACGGCCAGTACCGGCGGCTTCGGCGCGAACACATCAGGAGGACTTTTTGGTGCCAAGCCAGCAGCAGCAACTGGTGGAGGACTCTTTGGTAGTACTGGAGCATCAGCCACACCTGCGTCTGGCGGCCTTTTTGGGTCGTCTGGAACAACTGGCTTCGGGACCAACACAAACACCGCGCCTGCCAACAATGCTTTTGGCACAAACACGAGCACTACTGGAGGTGGGCTGTTCGGCAACGCAAATCAGCAACAGAACAAGCCAGCTGGTTTCAGTTTCGGAAATAACGCAGCCCCCGCTACTGGTGGAGGTGCTTTCGGAAATACCCAACAACAGAGCACTGGTTTTGGGGCGACCAATACTGGTGGCGGAGGTCTCTTTGGCAACAACCAGCAGAGTACTGCGAATGCGGGTGGTGGCTTGTTTGGTAACAACACCAACACACAGCAACCAAGCGCTGGGGGATTCGGTGCCAGTGGTGGTTTTGGCACTCAGAATACTCAGTCGACAGGCGGTGGCTTGTTTGGTGGCCAAACCCAGCAGAAGCCCGCAGGTGGCTTGTTCGGCAATACCCCTACAAACACTGGTGGTGGCCTTTTTGGAAACACTGGCAATACTGGAAGCACTGGCTTTGGCACGAACAACCAGCAAAGCGGCGGAATGTTTGGCAATAAGCCTGCCGGCACCGCCACTGGCGGGATCTTTGGCAACAGCACGAACGCCCAGAACACCAACGCCGGTGGCGGTCTGTTTGGTGGGATAGGAAACAATGCACAGCAGCAGCCCCAGCCCAGTGGTGGACTCTTTGGTGGCTTGAACAATTCGACACAGAATAAGCCGGCTGGAGGCTTGTTTGGTGCACCCAACCAGTCTGCTGGGGGCGGTCTATTTGGTGGCCAAAACAATGCGCAGCAGGGAGGTGGTCTATTTGGAAACTCAACCAACCAACAGCAGCAAAACAGCCTTGGTAACTCCCTCTTTGGCAATAGTATGAACAATCAGCAAACGCCACAAACACTTACCGCGAGTGTCAATGACCCATCGGCCTACGGTACGGGATCTCTTTTTGGAAACCTGGCTGCTCCAACCAACGACCCTGGCCCTCTTGCAACGCCACTATCAGCCAAGAAGCAGACGAAGCGTCCTTCAATCCTGCCAATGTACAAGCTCAATCCGGCCTCGGCTTCGCGTCTGACTACTCCTCAGAAGCGAGGATTCGGCTTCTCTTACAGCACCTACGGCACGCCAAACAGCCCGTCCAGTGCAGCTAGCACCCCTGGATCCATGTCTCAAAGCCTTCTTGGCGGAGGCAGTCTAGGCCGTAGCTTCAGCAAGAGCATCTCGTCGAGTAATCTGCGACGCAGCTACAACGTCGAAGATAGTCTGTTGGCCCCAGGTGCATTTTCTGCAAGCGTCGGGCCAAGATACGGTGGAGGCAACAATGTCAAGAAGCTCGTCATCAACCGTGAGCTGAGGAGTGATCTTTTCTCAACTCCTACCAGAACCCCAGAAAACGCAACCAGTGGTTCACGCAAACTCAACAAGCGCGTGAGCTTTGAAGAGTCGCACGAGACTCCGAAGGCCATTGAGGCCGCTGCGAGCAACGGCAGCCCGACTGCCGAGGAACTGGGCTACATTCGCCCTCAGACTAACGGAACCAATGGTACAAAAACCCCTGAAGTTGAGCCTGCTAAGAGCCGGGATCTTGCGATTGTTCACGAAGAAGAGGTGACAAGCCCAAGTACAACAGCGGCATCTGCTGGCGGTTTCGAGAAGGAGCTTGGCGACTACTGGATGGAGCCTAGTAAGGAGGAGATTCTAGCCATGAATCGTGTCCAGCGTCAAAAGGTGTCAAACTTTAGAGTTGGTCGCACAGGTTCTGGCTGGGTTATGTTCAAGGTGCCAGTTGACTTGACTCAGATCGATATCGACAACCTCTATGACAACATTGTCGTTCTCGATATTCGATCTTGCACAGTGTACCCCAATGCCGCAAAGAAGCCTCAAGTCGGCAAGGGCCTCAACGTTCCCTCGATTATCAATCTGGAGAACTCGTGGCCCCGCGCAACCAAGTCGCGTAGCAAAGCACCTACCTCTATGAAGAAGCACATTGAACGTCTCAAGCGTATAGAGAACACTCATTTCGAGAACTACAATGAGGAGACTGGCGAATGGACATTCTCCGTTGATCACTTCACAAGATATGGCTTAGACTACGATGAGGATGAGGACACCGAAGCCGACCGCTCTACGGAGGCTCCAGCGTATCCAAGGCATGAGTCCGCGTCCCCGTCACCTTCAGCAAACCCTGACTTTGACCAGGACGAACTTTACGACATCCGACCCGACAACCGCCCATTGCCCGGTGCCTTTGACGCCACCGAACGACACAGGAGCAAGCGAGGCGTAGATGAGATGGCTGAAATCAGTGCATCGCGGCCGTCTTTTTTAGGTAGTCGCTCCGTGGGTTCTACTTCCAGAGCTCTCGTTCCTGTGGCACAGGAGGGTCTGGATGAAGAATATGCAATGTCTGAGGATCAAGATGCGAGTTCTGATCTTGGACAACATCACGCTGCGGAGCAAGATGACGACTCGTTCGCTGCCAGCCAGATGGAGTTTGTTCCTGAAACTCCGGCCGGAATCATGAGAGCACGCATGCGTGCCATTAAAGGATCTGCCACCCCTGCCAAAATCACAGTGACGGCCGGGGATGACTGGATGGATATGCTTCAAAAAACTGTCAGCCCACAAAAAAGAGATCGTGCTCGACTCAGGGAGAATCAAGAAGCCGAGCTTTACCGTGTCCAGGACAACGTACAGCGACAGCCTTCTCCAAAGAAGCGGGCTGTATCTGATGGTCGTGGCTTTGCCACCAGCATTGACCTGATGAAGTCTATTTTCGAGCAGGCCAAGACACCCGTCGAGAAACCTGTTCCTGCCGTGCACGCTGGAACTGTCAAGGTCGGTTGTCATTAACCCCATTTCATAATCGTTTTCCAATCAATGGGCGACTCTTTCTGAAAATGTGTATATGGGTATGAATTAGTTAATTAAGTAACTGTGCTAAAAAATCATGTTTTCCTCTTTTAGTGGCCTTATAAAAGAATGACGAAGACGCTTGATGAGAATGATCTTGACCAGAAAGATCAGATCTGGCACGACACCCTACGGCCAACATGGGGTCCGAATGGCACATTGGTCTTTGCAGCCAACCCCCAAGAGACTCCGTTCGGTCGATCTGGTCGCATTACCGAAAAGAATGGCTTGATGACAGTCACTAAAAACAACTTCAACTTTGAATCTCAAGACATTCGCATTGCCAGGTTCTCGAACGAGGTAAGTGTAGAGCTGTTTTGCATATGTTCATGACTACCTGTAAACTGACCATCAATCTAGATGTCTGCGAAGGCAATTCGTGCACATGCCGACCTCTCTCAGATATATCTGGATAATGGAGTTCCCACCGTTCAAGGGCCTCGAGTCAGTCTGAAGGACTTCTGTACTGACACTGGCGCCAAAAACACTGCTGCTGAGCACGAAAAGCTCGTATGGGAGCTTGCCAGTACCCTATTTGATAATATCAAAATCCCCTCCGAATACTCGGACCAGCCAGATGCAGGGGAGAGACTCCGGCGGGAAGCTCTGTCCCGTTTCTGGGAGACCATGGTCGAAGTTGAATCAAACAAGGCCATTTCCATGGCAGGCTCGAGTGAAGAGAAGGCCTTGGCGGCCTTGGCAGGCCATCGCATAGCCGATGCTTGTAAACATCTGCTCGACGGCAAGAACTTTCGCCTCGCCACACTAATTTCTCTCATTGGCACCGGGGATGAGATCAAGCGTGACATGCAGGAGCAGATCAAGGATTGGCAGTCAAGCAAGGCCCTCTCTGAGTTTTCAGAGCCAATTCGAGCACTATATGAAATGCTGAGCGGTAATGTGTGCATCTGCGAAGGCACAAAAGGGGGTGTCTCAGAGGACCGCGTCGAGTCATTCGTGATCTCTGAGAAGTTTGGCCTCAACTGGAAGCAAGCTTTTGGCCTCCGTCTTTGGTACGCATGTTCTTCGGAGGATGCCATTGCAGACGCTGTTGAAAAGTACAAGGAGGATTTTCAACAAGACAAGGAGCAACGGCCGTTGACCTGGTTCGTGGAAGCCGGCATTCGCAGCATCTGGAACGATCCGAGGGAAGGTGATCGCGAGGATCTACTATGGGGGCTCTTGGAACTCTATTCGAACCCAGATGCTGACCTGGAGTCTGTATTGCGACCTGAGAACTCCCAACTCTCGCCGCTGGACTATCGCCTCACCTGGCAGCTTGGCCAAGCTTTGACAGCAACCGGAAAGGTATCTTTTGGAAGTGATGCCACTGAGAAGACAGATGCTGCTACCGTATCGTTTGCCTCGCAATTAACCAACGAGGGCAGCTGGCTCGAGGCAGCTTTTGTCATTTTGCACCTTACGGATGCGGACACAAGGTCAAAGGCCCTACAGGAACATCTCTGTCGCCATGCTGGCTTGATTGGTGACGAGCAGTCTGAAAGCTTCAAGCGACTGACGGAGAAGCTCAAGATGCCTCCACGATGGATCTGGCATGCCAAGGCTTTGCATATGCGAAGTGTCAAGAAGGACGCTGCTGGCGAAGTCCAATGTCTCTTGCGCGCAGAATCCTTTGCCGAGGCTCATCAGGTCTTCATCAAGGAAGTGGCTCCATACGCCGTCATCGAGCGCGATTATGATGCTCTAGCTGATCTACTCCGTCAATTTGATGGTCGTCAGTCGCAGGTGCCGGACTGGAATTTGGGAGGCGAGGTCTACAAAGCCTTCCTCCAGCTGGTGGGTTTCCAGCGTCGTCACGAACAAGCTCCTCTGGCTCTGATCAGCGGACTGCTGGAGGGTCTGCCTGCGATGCATGGCAACACGCCTGAGGCAGGAATCATGGAGTATGCAGCCCTTACCGACATGGCCGAAGTTGTTGCCAAGGTGGTCAGCGATCTGGCTAAGAACGGAAAGGTATGTGAATTTGTCTATGTGTGTCAAGACTTGGATAGATGACTAATTATGGAACAGATGGACCATCAGCGAATACTTAAGTTGCCGCTCACTGAGGATGTCTTGCTTCGTCACAGCCGCGACCTAGCTTGGTCGCACTACCACGCGGTTGTAGCTGGCCAGTGATCAAAGTAGAAGTAGCTGGACACGATCATGTTAAACATAATCAAACAACGCATAAGGAAAAGAGAAAGTGGCAAATAGGCTCGTGGGTGTCTTTACTGTGCTGAAGCTTCATGGATTGAGCTAGGAACCAAGGGTTATTGTATGAAATAGGACTTTTTGCGGCCATGCGAGTGGTGATATGAGCATCCTGGCATTTGGAGTAAAATAGATAGCAACAACAGAACAGTTGTCATGATACCGCCCTACAGCATCTCGCTACGTGTTGATACGTGACAATGATCCCGCATATACTTGACCTTTTTTTCTTTCTCTTTTTCCTCTCCTCTTTTCCCCCTGATAAATAAATAAGCTCCATATTGTTGGTTACAGGTGTTTTATATGCAGTCACGTAACAGCGAGCAGAACATTTATGTAGTACTCCTGATTTAGCCAAGACCACAAGATTAGTATTCATCTTAGTCTTCTTCGTGACTTTGCATTAGTCTATTTGTTTCGTTCATGATACTAAGCCGTACCGGTTGGCCTTTTTGTCTTTATTTTTTGAGTGCCTCTGAACCAAGCCTTTGTTGGGATATCAAGTCTAATAGTCTTCCTCGCCAGATCCACTCACAATGACGTTGTTCACCTTCAGCACCATGCGGCAAAGTTGTGTTGCCAGCATGAGCTGTTGCTTCTTGCCAATCAGGGGATCAATGACGAATGCCTGCTTCATGTCGTTGCTTCCCTTGTTCATACAGTCCACTCCCAGCTTGCCGCGAGCCTCGCCAGCCTTGACTTGTTGCGACTTGACCTCGGCCAGTGTGGCAATGGGGTTCATGCCGCTGTTCTCTGCCAGTGCCATGGGCACAGCGTCGAGGGCCTCGGCGAAAGCGCGCATGGCGTACTGCTCGAGACCTGGTGTCTTGGTGGCGGCGTCCTCGACAGCGAGCGAGCAAGCAATTTCGGCGGCACCTCCACCGTAGACAACGCGGTTGTCCCTCACCAGGTTTCGTACCACGCAGAGGGCATCGTGCAGGGATCGCTTGGCTTCGTCAATGATCTGTTTCTTGGTTAGCGCCTGGTAATCGTGTAAGCAGCGGGATCCATTTGATCACCTACCATCTTGTTGCTACCCCGAATGAAGGCAGTCACAGCACGAGTGTTTGCGCACTCCTCAATGACCAACATCTTCTCCCGGGTTGTGCCAAAGGTCATCTCTCGTACAATACCGGCAGAGCCAAGCTTGTCACTCTTCAAGTCTTCGAATCTGGGCACTATTCTGCCGTTGGTGGCAATGGCGATGAGCTCAATCTCCGGACCACCGACCCATCTTACAGCGGGCAAATCGTTCTGTAGCAGCAGGTGGTTGGCCTCGTCATCAAAACCCCACTGGCAAATGGCCAAGTTGGCGCCGGCATCCTTGATCTGCTGGATCATCTCAACGAACTTGTCGTGCTCGTAGCTCTGCAGCTTTCTGTACTCCTCCACTGATGAAATCTCCAGCTTGTGCTTGGTCTTGGGCTTCGGGGGCTCGAATGCGCACGTCAGGATGGCGATCTTGGCATCTCTGACCTCGGAGGGCATCTGCGGGTGGGAAAAGTCCTTGTCGACAATGACACCCTTGACCAGGATCGAGTCCTCCAGGGCACCTCCCACCTTACCGTCGACCTTGATGAGCTCAAAGTCGACATCCTTGCGCTCCAGGTCGGCGACGGACAGGACAGCGTCGACGGCCATGTTGGCAAACTGGTCGTGTGCCTTGGAGACAATCTTGCTGCCCAAACTCGTGTGCGCCACCTTGAGGAGGTTCTCCGTGTTTGTAGGGCTGAATTCGATAACGTCTGCTATCCGGTCCAACTCTTGCACTGCAATGTCGCAAGCCTGGTCGTAACCATCTGCGATTCGGATGGGGTGGATGCCCTTGTCGATCAGCTCGGCGGCCTGCTCGAGCAGAGCACCAGCCAGCACGACGACACCAGTGGTTCCGTCACCAATTTCATCGTCTTGCGACTTGGAGAGCTCGACCAACAGCTTTGCCACGTGATTCGAGATCTCCATCTGCTGCAGGATGGTAGCGCCATCGTTGGTGACTGTGATATCGCCGTCGGGGGAGATGAGGATCTTGTCGAGACCGCGGGGGCCCAGGGAGGTCTTGACGAGGTTTGCGACCGTGCGGGCGGCGAGAATGTGTGACTTGACAGCTTCGTTGCCGTACTGACGCTTCTTTTTGCCTTGGCTGCAGAGAAAGGGGAAGAAGCTGGTTAGGGACCGGTCGCGGCAGAGCAGCACTGATGGGAATCGCGCATAGAAAAATAAACTTACTCTCTGACGACGATGAACGGTCTACCCTGCTCATCCTTCGTCACCACAGCTGAGTCCCAGTTAGTCGCAAGGCCCATCGGCGTAGCTTGTATATAGTCCACCACATACCGTTGGACATATCAAGATCTAAGCTTCAATGTTAGCAGGGATTCGGGGGATTTGTTTGTAGCTATTGGAAGGGGGGAAATACATACTCAAAGCCATCTTGAAGAAGGGTTCTTTCGCTCGAAAGGAGCTTCGCTGCGAGAGAGAGGAAAAGAAATTGGAGGGGAGGATGAGGAAGCTCTCTACAAGTGTGAACAGGAGCCTGAACCACAAAGAATTGTTGGTGTTCCAATAGATTAGTTAAGCTATTAGACTTGCCCCTCCGCGCTGCCTGTGCTTTGCTGCCAAACCACGTCGACTCCCAAATTCTCGAATTTCTGCGGGCCTGGGGCCCCTGTTGAACCCCCCCGAGAAACGAGGATTTTAGGCGGCGTCGGAAAAACCATTTGCCCCACTATGAATTTCCAGGCTCCCCCCGAAGTCAATGAGTCCTTGTATATCTAGTACGTAGTAGGTCCCTAAGCATCGCGATTCGCAATTGGTAAACAGTCTATACAACAAATCCACGTGAAACAATGCTGCCAATACTTGAGCAACGTTTGAGAACATCATAGATCTGCCTTAATTACAAGGCTCAGAGTCCAACATTGGAGCCGTCGGCACCTCTGCATAATCGTGTCTCGCTCCGTAATATACGATATGTGATGAAATATAGCAGACGCGTCGTTCAGAGTATTCGCCAGCGCCTGTTCATCGGTGATCTCAAGTACCGAGGTGACGATGAGCATTTGTACAAGTCATCACATATTACTTACATGGTCACTACATGACAACACGATTATTTATGCTGCGGAATTTAGAGTGTTGGCGAGAGCTAACATGTTGGACCGCTATTTTTGAAGCTCGTGTCTCAGGAATATATCTTTCAAGGTTGATGATTTCATATTCTTTCGGCCCTCCGGTCTAGCTATCGACAAGTTGACGATACCTCTCTATATGTCATCAATATCTTGTAACCCCACGCAGACATTTATTGCTCCTAGTTTTCTTTTGATCCTCGATGCAGCTCACGGGCCATGGCTGCAGGCTTGTTGTAATCGAGTGCCACGGGACTTGGGCCGCGTCTACTCCAGTCAGCATGGATACCTCTTGGAGGGAGGGGGAAAACCTTGGGAGTAACCACTTACACGGCCTTCTTACCCCAGCTAAACGCATCCTTTACGCAAGGGGTAGTGATGATCTCGTCATGATTCCACGTCTTGTTAAACACTAGCGGCTCCAGCTGCGCGCACCGGGACTCAAGCTTAACAGGGACACAGCCGTGCGGGATGTTTTCTGTCTCGTTGAGCACCGAGTAGGCAAAGCGAATGGCCAAGACCTCGCGGTGCTGGAACTCGCGGCGGCATACGAGATAGGTTCCGGGGGCGGGACCCCAGACTTCCGGAGGGTGCGTCGGCGCCGGGGCGCCCAGTGCAAGGTCACCGTCCCGGTTCACAAATACGTTGTGCTCCTCGGGATAGTCGGGGTCGAACTCTGTCAGGCCTTGCGCTTTGAAGGACAGGCGGAAAAACTTCTCATGGTCTGTGTAGGCTTTCCACTGTGAATTTTTGTTCCATGGTCAGCCAGGATCATCACTTGTTTCTTCTAGCGACTGGCATACACCACTTGATGCAATAAATCATACAAATCTTGGCAAGACTTACAGTACTACTAAACTCGCTATGGTATACCTGCTCATAGTACACAGCACTTGGCCATAGCTGCGCGACGGCAATATTGGTAAACAGCGTTCCCGCGGACTGATACCCGAACCACCAGGTCGAGAGCTGCGAGCTTGAGTCCGGCAAGCCAGGGAGGATACGATCATAGTCGCGGTCGGTGAAATCAGGAAATTCGCCGTTCTTGGCGATCCGGATGCGGTACGCCTGTTCGTAGACGAACTCTGGGTCGCTACGAATTCCGAGCCCGGAAGGAACCACGGCACCGGCAGCCAGCCCGGATATGCCGGCGACGGCAATGAGATGTTGAAGACGCATTATGTCTAATTTGAATTTGCAACGAATGTGAGACTCGTCTCTTGTGGTTCTCGCAGAACAGAACAAAAGCAGATGGTGAATTCGCTTACAATCATCATGGACAAAAAAGGCGCCGAGCCTTTAGTATATGGTGAATTGCTGATGAACTGCGCTGACCGATCACATATACCCTTTGCGAAAGCGACATCTCGCTACCATTATACAGAATGCCTTGGAGGATTCAACTAAAATTAATTGACTTGGCATGCATATTCGTATCTGCATAAGCTCGGTAAAAATCCTCTATTGGACCATGGATGTTCGGATCCTTCCCGACTAACCGCTAAAGAAACATTGATAATGGGACTTTATGACCTTGTTGCTGATGGGACGTCTGATCTAGCCTGGGCTTTGGTTGGTCAGCACTTGAGTTCCTTGCAGCTGCCAATGTGCATCAAATATTTCCAGTCACTAGGCTACATTCAAGCTTAAATCAGCCTCGCCCTGTTCATTAGGGGGATGTATATTGCAACATCCTTGCTCTCAGACAGGTAGGCTACTGCAAGAAAACTCTCCTGGCCTTTTCATATGGAATGAATCATGTCGATCTAAATACAATAACGCGTGATGTACAGGCTCAATAACTGCTGACTGCTCCTTTTGTTCTTTTTGTCAATTTTTCCAGTTCTTTTACGCTTTGGACTTTTGATTGCAGGACAGCCGCTGGACCGCCGTTGAAAGTGACATCATGATACAAAAAGGCCGTGACTGATGACTTCCACAGCGGTCTCCTGTCAAAGCTGCGGACGATGGTGCTCAGCAGCAGCACCAGTGCCGCTGCTAGGACTACAAAGGGGAGAGACATCCATTGCCAGTTGATCCGCACATAGGTCTCCGTCTGGACAGTCAGTCCCTCCGCCGTCAAGTTGAAGCCGGAGCGCAGCTGATCCGTCATGCTCGTGGCCAGGCCGTCAAACAGCTTTGACAAATCTGCCTTGCGCAGCACGGCGCTCATGCCCGTGTCATCGTCGGGGTAACTTTCCCCGGAATAAGTGGTACCGCTGAACCTGTCGGACGTGAACAGGTTGTTGATGGCCTTGAGATCTCTTCCTTGTACCGTCAGCGATGGCAGACCAGACTTGTTGAAGGTGAGCTCCGTGCCGAGGATTGTGCCCGAAGTCAGCGGAATGGCTATCGGAACACCGATAAAGTCGTTACCGGATGTAGAGATGTCCGAGTAGTTGTACGCTGCGACTCTAATGCTGCACTCGTACACATTCCAACCGTCGGGATAGATGCCAACGTCGGCGCTGTTGACATTGTCAATCGTTGCGTTGACGAGGGCAACTCGAACGAATTCAGAAGAGATGGATGTTGGCTCTGTATAAGGCATGCCCTTTTCAACCGCTTTCAAAAGATCCAGCGCTTCGACTTGAGCTAGGGTCAGGAAGCTTGTCTGTGAGTAGCCCACATGGATAGAGATGTTGCCCGGTGTCGTCATGTTGTACCATATTGGCCCATTCTCGTCGATCTCAACTCTGGTCGCCTGTGTCTCGGCGGTCACGTCGGCACAGTCGGCTGCGAAACCGAGTGATATGTAACTATCTGGCCAGACACACTGCGAGGGACAATTGAAGACGGGCTGTGTACTGACATTGTACAATGCCTTGTAGATGGCCCCTTGCATACTGGTATCGATCGTAGATGCTGCGCCCACCGCTTGTCAGTTTCCATTGTGAGGGAAGACAGGGGCTAGCAAGATCAATACATACTCTCCACCGTAAGACCACCATTGGTGGCTTGGGTAAGTACACCGCTATCGTACATGTGAGTGTAGCCGAATGATGCTTTCCCATCATTGACCTCTACAGGTCTCGTCCCACTCACATCGACCACCAACTGGCCAAAGGTATCAACTCCCAATGCGAGGAGTGTTGCGAGGGCTCCTATGGCAACAGCGAAACCAATTTTGAACCCAGTTAGGTATAAGAGACCGAGTGCTCCCATGGGCCCTCTACTGGCCTCTTCGAAAAGGTCCAGGTCTCTCAACTTCTTTGGAGACTTTGCAAGATGAAACCATTTTGACTGGGCCAGACAAGCTCCAACCGAAAACATGGCGGCGGCTTTCGAGGCAGTAATGAAGAGAGCAACTGTGGCGTTGATGCTCATGATAAATGTCCATTTTGACAGTGGCTGATCCTTCATCATGACCAAAATGACCACGACAGCAGCCAGACATCCAAAGCAGGCCAACAGTGATAAAATCTCCCATATCCATCCCAGAATCGGGCGACGGTTTGGCTCAAAGCTCTGCTGAGGCTCAAAGCTGCCATGTTCTTGTACTGGAACATAACGAGTATGGACCATCGGTACTGATGATTGTTTCATCATCATTGCAAATAAATCATCCAAGAAATGATGGTATTGAAGCAAGAAGAAAGTCAAAATTCCTTCAGGAGTTACTTGAAAAGGTTGTGGCTATTCAGCCGATTTTGCATCCTTCTTCTCGTGGTTCAGCTGCAGACCTATAATTAGAAATTGGGGGCCACTCCTGCGCTTGGCGGACAAGAACCCCTCCGGCACGGATTGAGCGTTCTGATATGATGATGATGATGCCGACAAATCACTCCTCAAACACGCAACAGGTGTAGAGGCCCGAAACCTCAGCTTTATGGTCATTTGCGCACAATTTAAAATTGAAACCATCAAACTCTTTATTCAGCTTTGTTTAGGCAACCAGCTTCCAAAAATCAGATAGCTGATGAAGTTTTGCTTCAAGTCGAACTCAGTCATAGTAGTAAACACTGAATAGTACCTAGCTAAGCGCTCAAGGCGATAGAGAAGCCCAGAAAAGTGGGTTGAAATACAGGGACAAATTTCAATTGGCCAGACCTGTAAGTGCTAGGGAGTTAGCCCCTGGGTTAGCTTGCTGGTCCCAGCATAGTAGAAAAAGAAGAAGAGGGCTGGCCACCCAAGCCACTTCAATAAACATGCGATCATAATTGATAGTCGATACGTCAAATCTGATGAGTTTAACAAGTCCCCGGTGTTGGATTTAACCACAAAGGGCCAACAGCAGTCCGAGTCGGCAGGACAGTCTACCGATTCTGTAATGCAGCTTGCTTTACTTTAGTGCATTGATATAATAATTTCCTTCTTCGATTTTGCGATACTCTGCAGCTGATTGTTGAAGAATAGGCAGTATAACATGGGGAGACAAAGTGAATGTCATCATGTCTGTACAGAGTTCTTGAAAATTATTCCAAATCCAACCATAAAAGTTTGAGCGCTAGAAAACGTGACATCTAAAATCCCAAAGTAACATGTAGTAAATGTTAAAATATGTCAAGATAACAATTTCTGCTGTTTGCTTCCGTCCTGGCAATGTCGTTTATTCATTTCAGGCACCAAGGCAATGTTGGCTGAAATCAGCATAACAATCAACCACATCAACCGTCATTACTTCGGGCGGACAGGTGAAAGTGGTAGCCGTGACGCAAGGTGGGTAACAGCTAGAGTTTTCGCTTGTCAGTGGTATTCCTTTTCTTGCTTCTACAACCCAAACACTGCCCGGCGAAGATGAACAACATACTTGGACACGAATGTCATGACATCTTTGCAGATCTTGTATTGATAGTAACAATTCGAGCTGGTGGTGGAGCAATCACAAGCTGCCGCCAAGTCGCTCGTGGAAGAAGGTGCTTCGGTAACGGTTGGTGTCGTGGTGCTGTTGAGCAGAGCGACTTGACCTGTCCCTGTCGACGTGTTGTTGCTCACTTTTGCAGCTACAAGCCCGATCCAACAAGCAAGAGCAAGTTTGAGATGAATCATTATCATCGTGAGTGAATATGTTGAGGCGTACAAGTTTTCGGGTTGGTGAGTTAGGAAATCTGATCGACTCCTCGTGCACCGAGCATTTGGCGTTGATCCCAAGACACGTCCGCGATGGCAAATCAAGATGCAGATTACCAGGCTTTTGACAATAATTGGATGTTTCAGCCGTGTCTCCGAGGAGACAAAGGTCACGACTCGCAAATGGTGTCACGGGCAATTTAAGTGTATTCAGACAATCATCTTAAATTACATGGAAGAGAGTAAAAGAGGTCTCCAAAGATATTCCTCGGTAATTCCCAAGGGGTTCGATAAGTGGTACGGAGAATAAAAATCTACTTCTTGTGTTTGCAATCTAGTGGCACCTCATGCATGTTGGTTCCCGGACATTATGAACACCCCATCCCTTGCAGAGACAGTTTAGCTGGTAGCAAGGGCAGAAAACGACGGTACCATGGCCGGATGATGGCTGTAGTCATGGCATCGGATTCGGGGGGAAGTTGCTGCATTTTCTATTGCTAGAGTTTGTGGTCTTGCGCCGATCACGAGTTTGTGGGTATTGATTAGGTTTCTCGCAACATATGCAAGCACTGTTTATTGAATTTTACTTTGCCTACATTTGGAAATTTCTGCCCATCCCAAGCCGGTTTTCTTCATTCAGCTAAGCCTAACACGGCATGTTTGTCTCACAATATGATCTTGGAGAATCAATTTTAGGTGTAGCAACATTGCAATTGCGATGGACACCATGTAATGTTGTTGTTGTTGCTCGCATGCGCCACAGCCACCAAGACTATGTAGCAATCAACTGCCATGAATGTAAAGGAGTTCCAACGGTCCCCAACCCAGCTTAATGACTGCTCCCATAATGTATGTTGATACACCAAGATATCTCACAAGATGCATCTACGAAAGAGTATTCCTTTGAAGACTCGCACCACGTCATCAGTCAGAGCCAGCGTATACAAATCGTTACCGTACCTGAAGATGCAGTAGCCTGTAGTCCATTGCGGACAAGGTGAGCGAAGCCCGAGCCGCAGGGTAGATGAGCAAATATCGGCCAGGGGCATCTCCTGGAGAAAGGCTTTAAAGCCAACGAATTTCTCTTACGCCTGGTCTTTCTCAAATGCAAGGACTTGAGGCTAGGCAAGAGGGGCATCCGATAGCACCTAGACTTCGGTTCATGAATATCACAACTCACGACTTGTTTTGCGCACAGCCAAGTCAGCCCAAGCACATTGTCCTACCTTCCCTACAGAATGGCGTCACAAGACCAGCCAACGGTGCATAGCCGCTCACCCCACTTTCAGAAGGCTGTGAGAAAACTCTCTCATGAATGGGGGTTTCGTGCTCGTGGTTAGTGCCAAGACGCTGCTCGGCGCGCATTGGGCCGACGCGCTGGAGGCACTCGGTACGCGCATACTGTGCAGTCAGGACTCACAAGCCGAGTTTCAGCCAAGCACCCTCGCAATTCCCGCAGTACATCTTGAGAATGTCGGCTATGATACGACCCGCGAGGCTTTTGTCCAATGGATCCGTGATCACGATGACATGGCAGGTGGGCGACGATGGGCGTGCGTGGGGATCGGATGTGCGACGAGATGTATTCATTGTCGTTGACGAACAAGCGCTCGAGTCCCTGCTCACCGATGACCCAGATACGGCATGGGCCACTGTCTTTGACGCGCAGTACTCGAGCCACGATGGAAGACCCGAGTACCCCGGCTGGATGCGCTGTCGGGCCTGGGCGTTGGTGGAGTTATGGAAAGACTTGGACGCTGTAGACGAGGGCATGTCAGAATTGTGCCCTCCAAGGCATCATTCCGGTCAGATACTGTTGTATGGCGGAGGGCCGGGTGATACACTTCTCGAGATTGAGAGTCCTCTCCGGGACGGTATGATGCATTACCCACGCGGTACATGCAGAGGGGTGATGGAAGGCACGCAAAGGGGCGCAATAGGTGCGACAATGCCAGGCTCTAACGGGGAGCACCCGGAGACCGTCTCCCGGTAATTCAATTTGGTATTGTATATATCATCCGTACGAGAATCGTATTCGCTCGTATTCGCTCCGCAAGCGCATGTAGGATAATCAACTTGACAATGAAACAAGAATAAGCAGCTGGGCGGTGGTTTCAATGACTAAGAATGTGATCATGTTGCAACTTCTACTACCCTTGAAGAATGTGTAGAGAATATAGTCTCAGCTTTGGAAGTGCTTATCGGAAATCTTTGAGGACATTACTCAGGTATGCTTAACTTATCCTTCAATTACGTTTAGATTGAATACCTTTTTTTTTTTCATGCCGTTATTTATACAAGAAAGCTCTAAGCATGCTTCAAACTTGGGATATCGTGCGAAGGGTCTGGAAAAAAAGTTTTGTGTACTAGAGTGAAGAAGCAGTAATCATAGAGTCACAAGCCGCGCGGTCCAAAGAAAGGACACGTTATCATGAGAGTTTATACTATACATCTGCGATTATCGATTCGCACTTGCAGGTTATCTCGTACCGTCCACGGCGTCGACGTCGGTATAGGCGCCCATAAATGCTACTCGTTCTTCATTGCAACGATCAAGTTCAGCAAGACTACCTAGCCAAGAGCCCAAGATTTACACAGTCGATGATGCGAATCTCCAACTGGCGGCGCTCTTTAGCCGGTACTCAATGCACCTTTCCCCATCTTCCCCATGTCTCGCTCAAGCAACATGCTGGATAATTTTCCGTATGCAGTCATTATTGGCCCGCATGGGCAATGTGCGGCAACTCCACCGAATGGTCGACCAGATTGATCACACACAACTACCGAATTCAATCGAAATCATACCTACATAACCGGGTAAGCTGAAGACGCTGGGAAACGGATCTCATAGTGGATCAATGAACATTGCAGAACGCCTAGTTAGTCCCCCGATGCGGTAATGAATCGTTGCACATGTTTTTTCCAAGCAGACTCCATACAATCCGCGTTACTCCACCAATGGCTGAAAAGAGCAATGTAGCATAGAAATTGACGCGGAGATTTGGCCTCCTCGTTTACCTCTATAGAGCAACGAGCATTGACTGTGATTGGTGCGCGTGCCATGTTCTCTCTTTTTGACTTGCTCTTCTTGACCCGCCAGCTCTGTATAAAGGATCTTCATCAAGGACATGGAGAAAATAGTAAGAAACTTGAGACAGCATCTACATTTGGTCTGAGCAATTATTCACAACGAATGATTCAACATGTTGCTCACAAGCATCATTGCAGCTCTTGTCGCCGGCTGTGCCATGGCATGGCCGGCTTCGCAAGTTAATCAGCCACGACAGAGCTCAACTTTTACCAATCCCATCGTCTACGAAGATCTCCCGGATCTCGACGTGTTCCGGGTTGGAGACGTGTATTATTACTCCACCTCTACATTTGCATACTCTCCAGGTGCGCCACTGTACAAATCCTATGACTTGGTCAACTGGGCCCCCGTCACCCACAGCGTACCAACACTCGACTTTGGCGACAAGTATAACCTCCCTAGTGCCACCAACCGCGCCTACGTCAAGGGAATCTGGGCCAGCAGCGTCCGGTACCGCGCGTCTACCGATACTTTTTATTGGGTTGGCTGCATAGAGTTCTCCAAGACGTACATTTACACGTCGTCTGGCAGCAACGCCGGCGCCAACGGTGGCGAGGCCGACTCGTGGAACTGGCAGCAGGCGGCCGTCATTGACACGTGCTACTATGACTGCGGTCTCTTTATCGACGACGACGATCAAATGTACGTCGTGTACGGCAACACGCAAATCAGCGTCGCCAAGCTGTCTAGTGATGGCCTCTCGCAGGTCAGCACCCAGCAGGTTCTTTCGAGCGGCAGCACCACCATTGAAGGCAGCCACATGTACAAGATCAATGGCTACTACTGGATCGTGCCGACGCAGCCCGCCACTGCCGAGTGGATGTATCGATCGACGAGTATCTACGGGCCGTATGAGCAGCGAGTGCTGGTCAGTTCCATCCCGGCACCTCTCGCCAACGCCGGGTCCCCGCACCAAGGAGGTTTTGTCGAGACTCAGGACGGCGAGTGGTATTACATCTCCTTCATGGACTCTTATCCCGCCGGGCGAATGCCAGTCATGGCGCCCTTGAGCTGGGATAGCAATGGTTGGCCATATGTCGTCACCAACAGCAGTGGCGGCTGGGCCGTGGAGTACGATGCACCCGTGGTGACTTCCAAGACGGTCCCGTCACTCACCGGGACGGACACTTTTAGTTTCCTCGGCGACGAGTGGGAATGGAATCATAATCCCGACACCTCGAAATGGAGCATAGCGAATGGTGGAGGTCTTGTTCTTCAGACCGCAACCATCACAGACGATCTCTTCACTGCTCGAAACACGTTGACGCACCGCATCATTGGACCCGTATCCGAGGCTGTTTTCGAATTCGATATCAGCGCAATGTCTGACGGAGATCGTGCGGGTGCAGCCATGTTCCGAGACCAGTCGGCTTATATTGGAGTACACAAATCGGGAAGTACAGCTACCTTGGTCTATGTCAACGGCATCACACTGGCCGACAGAACTTGGACAACTTCATCCACTGGGACTGTCGCTGCGACAGGACCTACCGTGGCACAGTCGACTGTTTATCTCAAGATCAGGGCCAACGTGACCCCCGCGTTTGGCCTCGCTCCCGTCCGTCCGGCGACCTTTAGCTACAGCCTGGATGGCCAAACGTGGACTCAGCTGGGTGGGGATTTCCTCTTGGTCAACACGTGGACATATTTCACGGGATATCGGTATGCAGCCTTCAACTTTGCCACAAAGGCTCTGGGTGGGGCGGTCACGCTAAAGAGCTTTTCTATGGAAAATGTTTAGATTAGCAGCTGTGCATGGTTTTGTCAAGAGATATTTCTGGTATTCTGCCGAAAACATTGAAATGATTATTATACTATTACTACAGACTAGGTGGTCTTTGACAACGAATTGCCATACGCTTCTTATCCAGAGATATCCATAATGCTCCGACTGACCACCAAGTCTCCAATGGCATGGATAGGCTTCCCGCCCATAATGTCAAACACGCCAATATTCGTGTCGAACTTGTTGCTGATCCAATTGCGCAACTCCACCGCCATGAGAGAGTCCACACCGTAATCTGAGAGCGACCTTGTCTGGCTGATATCGTCGGCAGGTATCATGAGGGCGCGAGCCAGCATCCCGGCCAAGCCCTTGACCACGATGGCCGACTTTTCCTCCGCGGACGTTGCCTTTTGGAAGAGAACACTAAAGTCATCCATGAGGGCCATGTCGCGTTGGCCTCCTGAAGCGGCGCCAGAAGTGCTGCCGAATGATTGCTCGAATCCCATGAACAGAGGCATGGCATAGCGCCGGCTGGATGCAAAGCCACGTTCCTTGTATTCTGCTGGTGTGCGAGCACCAATCAGCAGCTGTGCCTTGTCCAAGGATTGCAGTGTCCGTGATGGATCGCAGTAGACCTCAAGAAGGGCCAGGAAGTCTTTCTCTTCAATCGGTACCATGTCTCTTGTAACTTCTCTCGTGCGGCGGTAATCCTCCTTTTCAGCAATGATGCCGATGGTTCTCATCCAGCCAACATCAAAGCTGACAGCCTTTTGCCCGCGGGCGATGCGATATTTGGCAAGGGCATCTTGGTATGTGCAGCCAGCAGCGTAGTTGCTCTGAGCAGCACTTCCGTAGATTCCAGAGAGGGATGATAGCATGATGAAGAAGTCCAGATTTGGCGGCAGGAGATTGTGTAGGTTCCAAGAAGACTGGACCTTGGTTTGCACTGCCGTCCTGAATTGAGCGTGAGTCATGTTCTCTACGATGGCATCCTGTTCAATGGTTGTTAGTTTGGAGTCGTTTTGAAGCATACAAAACTTGCTTGAGATGAAATATACTGACCTGAAGAACCATTGCCGCGTTGAGTACACCTTTGATTGGTGGCATGTTTCGCCCGCACTCCTCGATCACATTGGCAAGGTCTGTACTTGATGAAACATCGCATCGAGGTGCGTAGACGTTGCTGCCCAGTTCTTTCAGCTCTTCCACCAGCGACTGGGAAGTGGCCGAGGATGTCCCACTGCGGGACAAGATGACGAGGTTTTTGGCACCTCTGGTAGCCAGCCACAAGCCCATTGACCTCCCTAATCCACCGAATCCTCCGGCTATGACATACGATGCATTTGCATCAAAAGTCCATGAGGTGGAATTGCGAACGAGTTTCTATGAAGCGGTTAATTGAGTGACACGACATAAGCCTTGTTGTTAAGAAATGAATACGTACTGTTCCAGATTTCTCACAGTCCGCCGTGATGATGATTCTTCCAATATGCTTTCCACTTTGCATGTACCGGAGTGCCTCTTCAATGTCCCAGATGGTGTACACGTGCCGCGGGTACGGCTTCTGCATGATGTTCCTTGAGAAAAGATCTGTGACCTTGGCGAAGAGCTTCTTGACCAGCGCTCTGTTCGTGAGGGCCATGTGATGCAAGTCAATGGCACAAAAGCTGACATTCTTCTTGAAACCGGACATTGGAAGCGGTGTGTTCTCTGAAATATCGGCTTTTCCGATTTCGATGAATCGGCCATAGGGAGCTACACAGTCCCAGGAAGCTATGAGGCCATCACCAGATAGAGAGTTGAGGACGACATCGACACCTCGATTATCCGTGGCACGCATAATACCTCCAGCAAAGGTCGTGTTGCGACTGTAGAATATGTGGTCTGCTGCTATCCCGAACCGATCGATGAGCAGTTGTTTCTTTTCATCAGAACCAACTGTGACGAAGATTTCGGCACCGACGGATTTGGCAATCCAGATGGCCATTTGTCCCGTGCTTCCCGCGGCGGAATGGATGAGGATCTTCTCCCCCTCCTCGAGCCTCGCCTGGTTGATCAGTGCGTGATAAGCCGTCATGGCGGGATTGACGCCTGAAGCCGCATCCTCAAACGAGGCATCATCAGGGATATGCTGTACATAGTCCATATGCGCTCGGGGGTATGTCTTGATGCAGCCAGGGCTGGCGAGCGCCACACGGTCTCCTGGACGGAAGTCGGTAACATTGGTTCCCACACGCGTCACTACTCCTGCACATTCGAATCCGGGAGTCTCGCCTTCTAAGCGACCAAGAGCAATAAAAATGTCTCGGAAGCTGAGAGGCCAAGCCTTGGCTTCAATCTCAACATCTTCGGGGGAGAGGTCGTTTACGTACTCCGTATCCTCTACAAATCGAAGAGTGTCCAAGAGGCCTGGGACCGGAATATCCAACTTGACTGGAGATCCGCCAGACCAAGGCTCTATGCGGGGCTGCAACTGTCCGGATGACTGTGTACGATTCTCCAGCTCAATTTCTTGTGCCAGCCTTTCCGTGTAAAAGACTCCATCACGAACTATGTACTCAGTGTCACGAGCTCTTTCGCCTTCAAAAGAAACCCGCAGCGATTCTTGAATGTATTCCAAGTAGTGAGCCGAGTTCGCAGCTGGATCGCTTGTCTCAATGGAGAGAGTGACAATGTGTTTCTCAATTGCCTCCGATCTCAGACTGCGCAGGAAGCCCTTGGCGCAACTATACAGGGCGTATGCTGGACTCTCTGGATTCACAGCAGTCGCCCACATAATATCCTTTGCTTGGGTGAGGACACTCTTCAGGCCACTGAATTCCTCCTCTTGTATGATCGACAGTAATGGTCTATCGATTTCTAGAAGAGAAATAACCACATCGCGGCTGTCAATCTTGGCTTCACCAAGTTTGGAGAATGGTAGCAGTCGTCCACCATGAGAGTGGACAAGTTTTCCGGCAAGTTCTGCCTGAAGGCTGGACTGCTCGTCGAAGAGCACAACAAGGTGCGTGCTCGAAGATTGTGTGGTGCCCTGAAGGGTAGATCCGTTTGAAAGGCTGTGCTGTGCATCAGCTTTGCTGATCATGATGCTACAGATGCCATGCTTGGGGTCTTCGTGGTCTCTCAAGACCAAATCAGTGCCTGTGAACCCCGCTTCTTTGAGAACATGATCCCACTGTACTTCAGTGATCAGAGGATTTGTGCTTCTCCATTTCTCCTTGGCCAGCCACCAGCCCGGAAGCAATCCCCACGGGACGGCGACACATGGATTCTGAGGAGAAACGATCTCGAGCAGCACGAGGCGCCCGTTGTCATTCAAAAGCCCACGAAGGTGTTGGAGAGTGGTATTCAATTCCGATACAGCGTGAATGACACTGCCCGCGATGATCAGGTCAAAACTGCCGGCCACGAGTCCCTGGGATTGAGCACTCTTCTCAAGGTCAAACTTTTGGAACGAAATACGGTCTTCAAACTGCTGGAACTTGGTTTTGGCGTGATCGAAGAATCCAGGAGATATGTCAGTATAAACATATTCAGCAAACCTCATGGAGCCTTCCTCGATCTCAAATTGATGAAGAGTATCCAGGATACCCCTTGTCATTGCGCCAGTCCCGGCTCCGACCTCGAGGATCCTGAGAGCTGGTTTCTCATGGCTCACCAGTCTCAGAAAGCGTCGAAGTCTGTCATCTAGAAGTTCCTTAAAGATGGAAGCATAGTAGTCCTCAACCATGCCATCGTCGAAGAAAAGCTCGAGAACATCCACCTCGCCTTTGATGAGTGGCACCAAATTTTGAGCAACTGCTGGCAACAGTCTCCACGATTCAGTCTTTCCGGCGTATTGTTCAAGGACATTGAAGTAATCGCTCTCGGTAAGCATTATCTCGTGTTTGTTCTCGGCAAGGAGCGGTTTGAGTGAAGATAGATATTTTTCCATGTGCGGAGGGGCATTGACTAGGTCTTGAGGGCCTAGCTGGCTCATTGCCTTGTTGGCGAAAAAGAGCAAGGCTGGACCCAAGGCTTTGGCGTAGCCGAGGTATTGCGGTTCCGGCGCGGTAGGAGCCAAACATAAGGCTTGAAGCTTCTCTGGGCTCAGCATGCTGAGCTGAGCATCGCTTGCGATCTTGTATAAATGGACTTTCTCTTGGGACTGTGAATTTCCACTTTTGGAAACTGCTGCAAGCTTCAACTGTCCCACTGAACACAATGGTGTGCCTTCTGAGTCAAGGATCTTTACAGCCATTTCAGCAGACGTTGAATCGCTTCTGTACGCAGCTTCTGACAGGAGCTGCACCGATGAGCATTTCCACCCAGTGGCAGATATCCAAGCATTGGATATCTCGTGAGGCACCAAGGTTGCGCCTGTGAGTGTGAGGCCTCTAGATAGCTGAGCTAGACACAGGTGGATGGCAGCATCTAGGACTGTGGGTTGTGGATAGTCCCCAGCCATCAACGGTTCAGTTGTGCTTGTTCCGACGGAAGCAACCGCACTATTTTTCCCATCCCAGCGAATGTCTTCAAGTAGCTGAAATGTTTTCCCGTACTTGAGTCCAATGTACTCATTCAAGAAGGTGTAGAATGCTCGTGGAGTGATCTTGCGGGTGCAGGCGGCAGCTGTCTCTTGACATTGTTCTTTGACACGTTCATGGTCTATCATTTGCTCGGAGTCCCCGTCGAGGTTGGACAAATCGGTTGCGTACTGAAGCATGACTCTTGCTTCGAAGCATTCGGTCCAGCGCTCATTGGAATAAGCGTATATCTTGACGTCAAACGAGCGTACTTCTTTCTCGTAGGATTTCCGTACTGGGTGGACTTGAACCATTGTCTCCGTTTTGCTATCTGCATTCGCTAGCATGATTGGGCTAGAGAAACGCGCAGACTTGATCAGGAATCCGGCCAAGGGACGCTCTGGTGTAGCGAGCTGATGCACAGCCTGTAATGACATTACCAACATGGCGGTACCCGGGACCACTATATTGTTATTCACCTTTTGACAAATTGGTCAGCACGATAAAATCGAAATAAAGGAAGCTGGTTTCTTTCTGAGAATCCTGATATCACTTACAACATGGTCTCCGAGCCAAGGTGCGGAGTCCAATGTCAGGACATTGCGCCATCTTGGATCCAAGGGATTCCAGTCTGTAGCACGTCTTCCAAGCACACTCCACGTCGAGTCACCTCGCAATCTGAAATCTTTACTCAATCGCGATTCGCTCCAGTATTTGCGTGAATGGTTGAAGGGGTATGAGGGACAATTGGTGAGCATGCTGGGCTTGCTTTCGAGCTCTTGATTGACGGCAGACACAATGACAGGGTAGCCCACGCTGAAAAGCTGCCCTGCCATTTCCATCAAGCTCTGTACAGCAGGCTTTGACCTATACAGAGCAGAGTGGTATCCGATGATATTCTCCGCATCAGAAACGTGACTTGATGACTGACGTAGGGTATCGTTTACTGGACGTCGGAGCGCCGCATGCGGGCCAATTTCTAGAAAGCCACCATTGCTGGCGCCGAAACGACCGGCGCCTAGCAGTTCGGATGCAGTCTGAATGGCATCACTGAACTTTACCTGCGACACGAGATTATCCACCCAGTACCGAGGTGTAGACAGAAGGTTTGCAGGAATTATGTGGCCTGTTACTGAAGACGCCATTGGAACTCCAGTACATGAACTTTCCCCAACCGGAGGCCTGATGGATTCCAAGACTTCAGCGTACTCTTCCGCTATTGCTTGCATGGCGGGGGAGTGGTAGGCGATTCCAGTATTAACCTTTTGGGCGAATATGCCTTCGCGGTCAAGTGATTGTTTGAGCTTGTCGATAGTAAGAGCAGATCCAGAAAGGGTGATGTTGAGCGGGCTATTGACGCAGGCTACATGGACAGTTTCCTGATCAGCCTTATCAAGATACTCGGAAACTTGGTCTGGTGATATATTGGCCGACAGCATGGCGCCTGGAGCGTCACTCGTAGCTGTGCGCAATTTGCAGGCTAGTCGACCCCGATGATAGGCAACCTGGCATGCTGAGTCAAATGACAAGGCGCCAGCAGTGAAGCTGTATTCTCGGGTCAGTGGTGGATGGTTCACACAACCAGCCAGCAATGGGGGACTCACGCAGCAGCAATCTCGCCTGATGAATGTCCTACCACGGCAGTAGGAGTGATGCCAAAGGTCTTCAATAATTCGACCAATGCTATTTGCAATGCCGTGCAAAGAGGCTGGCTGTACTCGGGCTGGTCGATACTCTGTCCATCTTGCAATTTATCTATGCTTTTGTTAGCTGCTTGTGCCGTGGCGAACACCGAGAAGCGCACCTACCAAACAAAGACCAGGGGCAACCAAGGCGAGCAAGAGCGTCGTCGAAATCCTGCAGGGTTTTCTTAAAGACGGCATATTTCATGAGACCCATGCCCATTCCAGCGTACTGGGCGCCTTGTCCAGTGAAGAGGAAGTTGATGCCGTAACTGCCGCTAAGCGCACGCGTTGGCTTCGCAACTCTGAAGGCATCACTGTCTGATACGTTTGAGCCTGAGTCGGCGACTGCGAAACTCCTCCATCTCAAATGATCTCGCCGCTCGGACAAGGTGTGGGCTAAATTGGACAAAAGATTCTTATCGGATCCAATATAGCCCTTGAGATATTCCGAGTATCTCTCTGTGACTTGACGTATTGTTGCCTCATCGAATGCTGTCCACACCAATAACTTCGGTGGTTCGGATGCCGAAACGCTATTGAGTGTGGTGTCCTGAATGATGTGATTACCATTAAGACCGTTCGTACGAGCAACAGTATGTCCATTGGCATGTCCATTGACTTGTCCATTGACATGTCCGTTGACATGTCCGTTGACGTGGTCATGGGATTGAGTGCCGCCATTCTGTGTTGCCTGGGTGGAACCAATATGGGCATCCACTCCATTCCGAAATGGCGTTTCACGATCTCGAAAGCAGTTATGGTGCCCCTGCAATTGGTGATCGTGGAGATAATGACAGGCATCATCAAGTACGGCGTGGCCGTTTGTTCCACCAATACCAAATGAGTTTACAGAGATTCTGCGAAGGTCATTGGTCGGCCAGTCTATTGATTCCGTAGGAACCTATCAATTTGTGTAAGTGAAGAGTCCAGAACATGGTGGCCATTTGACGAGGAGATACGAACAGCAATATGAAGCGCATCAGGATCAATTCTAGGATTTATCTTCTCGAATAGAGCGTTTGGAGGTATGATTCCCCTTTCTAGGATCATTACGGATTTCAAAATACCAGCAAGGCCGCTACCACCCTCAAGATGGCCAATATTGGCCTTCACTGTTCCCCTGCATTGCAAAGGTAAGCACATGTGAAACATATGATAACGTTGATGACTTACACATATAGAGGCTCGGTTTTTGATCTTGAACTTTTGAACACTTTCCCTATGGATTCCATCTCGATTGGGTCACCGGTAGGTGTTCCAGTACCTATCATACACTGCATTAGAAACCAGTTTGATTTTCTTTTACAATCAGCCATAGACTTACCGTGGGCCTCAAAATATCTCGTTTTTGTGAAATCGAGGTTGGCCTTCTTGTATACAGATCTGATCAGTCGCTCTTGGGCTTCAGTACTGGGCTGAGTCAGTGTAGGTGTGCGACCGTCCTGGTTAGTACCAGTGGAGCGTACGAGCGCCCTGATCGTATTGCCATCCCTAATAGCAGCTGAGAGCGGCTTGACCACAAGACCAATCAAGCCTTCTCCTCGGGCATATCCGTTTGCACGATGATCAAAACTATAGCAACGGCTGTCTGGAGACAAGAAATTCATTTGCCCAAGCATCATAGAAGTTTCTGGGGTCAAAAACATGCTCGAGCCCATAATCAATGCCTGTAAGAAGGATGAGCGCAGTGTTCGTATCCGAGTAAAGCTATTATTTCGGATTTATTGCGTAACTTACACAGTCTGTTTCTCCATTTCTGAAGGACTGAAAAGCAAGATCCAAGGACACCATACTCCCCGAACAAGCTGTATCCAAGTGGAAGCTTGGGCCTTGTAGATCAAAGTACCAGCTGATTCGAGCTGGCAGTGTTGAGGGTGCAAGTCCAGTTGCACTCATGCGAGGTAGGTCGTCGGGGTCTTTGCTCAAAATCTTGCTGTAGTCGTCAGAGATTGTAGAGGCATATATTGCCATCCGTGATCCCTTGAGCTTCGGCATTGTGAGCCCAGCTGAGACATGTCAGCACTTTGAATATATATTATGAGGCACGAGATGGCATTGACAGACCATTTTCAAATGACAGGTAGGCCAACTCAAGTGCCCACCGCTGTTGGGGATCCATGGCCATGGCCTCGTTGGCCGTGATACTGAAAAAGGGCGCATCAAAACCTGCGATGTCCTCCTTGTAGAAATGACCACCTCGCGCGGCAAGCTGGTGACTTGATTAGCAACACACATACTAGAAACATGTAGGACCGATCATTTGGGATAATTACCGTGCTGGGACGTTTTGGACTATCATCGTCATGCAAAGATCCAACGTTTAATCGCGTCTCCGGCCACTCGCCCGCCAGATTCTCTCGATTCTGCATCACTTCCCAGAAACGTGCCTCATCTTGTGCATCCTGAGGTAGTCTGAATGAGAAGCCAATGATGGCCATGGGCTCCATGGTTGTTGCCATGATTGCCTTGCAGCAGGCTTGCATAAACAACGAATGGCAGCGTACAAAATGACAGAGGCAGAGGAGGAGGCTACTTGAAACGCGTGTCCATGACAATGCCTCAATTACATATCATATTTATACCAACGGCCGTCTGAATTAAAAGATCACCTTAGCACTTATGCAGAGGCCGTTTCCAATGAGTACCTTGATATACGATGTGCCCCCTGGGGAGTATTTCGTCAATATATGCATCATGATAGTTGCCCCAGTATACCACCATGCTCAGCAGGCCTTCGTAGTGATGTAGCTGCGGGATAGCGTACCCGCACAATGGCATTTTGTTGCCCTTTCGAGTAGCTGTGACCGACCATTTTGTCTAATAGCTAGCGATCAGCGGTGGGTTATGCTGCAGAAATGCGGCGCAGCGGCGAATGGGGGCCAGGGACTAAAACATCAAGGTCGTATCAATAATCTTTAGCCTGTCCGATATGGCCTGGCACTCCTGGTAATAAGGCTTTTAACAATGACAACCATGGCTCGCTTGCCAACGTACGTAAAGCACGCTGTGCCGGAAGCGTAATTTTGATTTTTTTTCTTTATGGAGATCGACGGGGGATGTCCCACACAGTAGGGCCTGGCAAAAAGTCACCATGTAGAAATGACAACCAATGAGACCTCGACTAAGCCAGCCCTACACGAACTGCACGGTGGGCTCGGCTGGGTGCCACCGGAGTTGGGGTCCAGAACTGGACATGGTTCCAAGGACTCCAAGCAACCAAGGGCTGGTAGCGGCGGCAGATTCCTAAGACCGACAACCCTTGAATGTCTACATGTGCCGAATCCTTAACGGGAGACGATCTCGCCGGGCGAATCCACCCGTCGATTGCCTGCACTCTGCACGTTGGTTCATGAAAACGTATGTTGTTTTCAAATCATGGAACTTGTTGTTTCGATCGCTGAAATCTTCCGGGATCTCTGTCAAGCCTATGGCCAACAAAAACAAGTTCTGCCTGCCGCCGGACATTACAATGTGACATTAATCTGTGTAAATCTGTGTTATGCCTCTGGGCGTGCCATGTCCATGGTAATGAGAGTCTTCTGCATCAGGCCTGTCCGGCCCGAACGTGCCTGGCTCAGCGGTGCAACACTAGGTAGAGTATATGGGGCCGGTTTATTAGACCACCAAGACCTGGTCCTTTTTCCACATGAGTAAAGCCGCGGGTATCTGCACGGCTGCAAAGACGACTGTCACAAGACTCTGTCTAATGTATCCAGCCGCTAGGGACTCTCTCAACTCTTCCCGAGCACTATCCGTTAGCGCCATGATGCGCACAGCGAGATCAGACTCGTTGCTCGGGTCAATGGCTACTTTTGCAAAGGCCGGAGCTGTGTAGGTTCTGAAAATCGTGGTTGCAATGGCCAAGGCGACGGCGCTTCCCATCATGCGAAATTGGTTGCCAGTGCCCATGCCAACAGCTGCCCTGGTGGTTAGCAAAGAGTAGTACAGTACCCACAATACCTCCTTGGTGGATATCAGAACTTACCACGATCACGGCGCCCCGTCGTGAATGGTATCATGAGATACAAAACTGCGTAACTGACGCCACAACCGAAACCCGCTATAACTTGATATCCATATACCGTGGCTGGCACTGATAGAGATGAGGGAAGCGTAGTCATCAAAGCAAGACCAATAATCTGTAGTGAGGATCCAAACAGAACAACGTAAACAGCTGGTAGTCGGAATTGACTCGCCAGCTTCGCCCCTATGCTGGACCCAACAGTAATTCCACCTGCAAAGGGCAGTATCCTGACTCCGGCATCGAATCCAGAGAGGCCATTTACCAATTGAAATCGTTGGGGCAGTTGAAATACTGTTACCGTGATAGGCGCCCCCAAGAGGAAAAACCCCCTATCATTCCTGGTCAGGCCAAAGCAATGTGATAAACGGACATTCTGGAGACTCACAATAACATGCCAACTATGACACGGTCTGTGAGAAATTCCCAGGGCAGAACGGGCTCCCGGGATTTTCCCGCCAATGAAACGCGACGCTCCCAAAGAACAAGCAGTATCCACAGAATAGGCGACAGAACTAATAACACAATGATGAGAGGAGAGTTCCATGCGAAGCGGGAACCGGCCTGCTCGAATGCTGCAGTAAGAGTTATGCTGGCCAGGAGCAGGAGAGATGCCCCGGGGATATCCAGCTTCTCCAAGGCATGCCCCGCCACTTTTTGCTTTTCCGAACTTGTTGGGTTTTCATGATGAAATGGAAAGCCATTTGGGATACCGAGATATGCTCCCGCAAAGATGACAACACCAACGGGCACACTGGATTCTCATGATTAGGTGCTGAGCGTTATTGTCGGGAGGAGAAATCGCAGAGAACTCAGCTCATACTTGATCAAGAAAATCCATCTCCATGTGGTATGGGCGCTGATGGCACCGCCTATTAATGGTCCAGAGACGGATCCAATCGCTATTGCGATTCCGGTGTAGGCAACATATTGACCATACTTATGAGGCGGAACCAGCTCAATGAGCAGAATAGTCGCGAGTGCAAAACAACCACCACCTCCGAGGCCTTGGAACGCGCGCAAGATGACACTGCCTCGGTCAGTCAACGATGCCGTGAATGCAGTGGTCTTGAAGAGCTCTCACATCTGTGTTGTGGATGCTGCAGCCGCACAACCTCCAGAGAAGATTGTGAAGATTGCGATGCATATTAGCGTTATTGTTTTCCGCCCAAAGGCGTCGCTGAGTTTGGCTGCCAGCACTATTGATCCTGTACGCGCGTCGATTAGAAGTTGTTGAAAGAAAGAGAGAAAAAAGTGCAGTGCCTCGTGGCTCCTTACCTACGTAGCCGAGTAAATAACTCGAGAGGATCCAGCTTTCTATATCAAACCCACCCAACTCATCTGTGATGGCCACCAGAGAGGTCGCAACGACCGTGGCTTCCATGTTAACCAAGAACAGCACCACAGCGATCCTGGTACACATCAGTTATCGAGTGAACCAAGAAATAGATTCTATCCGCAAAACCTACACTATCGAGACTGCCCAGAACCGTATCCCAGTGAGATACTCTTTCGCGGGTTGACCCGTTTCGTCTGAAGGCATCGAATCCCTACATGGCTCGGAACTCAGGACCGAGCCATCTGAAATTGGGACTTTGGCACCGCCGACAGTCTGGGGCGGCGCATTGGAGTCGTTTGGTGTTTCTTCCTGAGCCGTCATATTTGCGCGTCCAGTCTTGAGCTGAGAAGTGGACAATAGTTCACTGTTAATCACCACTGCAGCTCTGCACAGCAAGTATGGTGAAAAGCTAAAATACGGACAGACATTCTCCTTAAGGTCAAGCAGCAGCTTGCTCAATTCACGGCGGTACGACCACGTCTGAGCGGCCGGTGGGTAGCATTGCCGGGTAATTTTTATACTGTGTCAATCAGTGCTTCTTGTAGTACAGTTCCATTGTGCAATGGGCACCGATGCAAGGTAACGACAGGGGTCAAGGCCGCAGCAGATGGGCACCGATCTGATGGCACAGAGTAGTACAGAATATCGACCTCTATGGAATAACTTTTTAGAGGAAACCCAAACGGATTTTGTCCTTCAAGATGTCAACTTTGTATCATACTAGCTAGGCCTTTGGCTATCTTTTCTTGGTTCTCAAGGTAGCGAGAATATGATGCCAATTTCAAAAGTACAGGCCATGCAGAGTTGTGTTGTGATGAGGAAAACCATTTATCTTCCTAGGTCCCCATCCATTGCAATCTACTTAGCAGATTTGCAGTAGTGGTAGTAGTATTCTGCACATGTGATGGTGAAGCCGTCACAACATTGGCTGCCCTATGGAATCTGCAGCAACTCATCTGTGACCATGACTGTGTAGGTCTTGCGAGGGTTTTAACTAGATGCCGAAGGATTTCTCCAGCGAAGCGCGTCACGGTCCGTTGCGTCTGCCATTTTTGGCCCCCAGCCGAGATCCTAGTCACCTGCATGAAGACCCCTGTGATAGGCCTGCAGCAGACTCCGTTTGTCGGTGGCGGGTTTTCACGGTGCGTGGACTCAACATGATATGATTGGAATATTGTCCTAAAATTATCCTCACCCTGGTGGCTGATGTTAGGAGTAAGCCTGCATGGAATATGCACAATCCTTCAGTGCAACCAACCCAATCCTTTTTCCACTGAGAGTGAAGAATGCCCACCCCCACCAGAGCTGCTCTTAACATGTCGCTCCCTCCTATATACCTGAGTAGGTACTCTGTAGTTGCCTATTTTTAATTGAAGAGACCTTTATCCGTACGCCCATCATTTGCGCTCACCCGTCAACCCACGTGTGTGTGCATCGCACGTCGTCGGATCGCGCGCGCGCTTTCAGTCTTTTGTTCCGTCGCCGCACAACAGCAACGTCTTCTTGGTCGACGTTGCTCGACGCTTTTCAGTCTGCTGAATCATCCAAATAAGCTGCAGGCTCAGTAAGCCCAATAATCAACGCAAAAATGGTTGACTTTTCACCCGAGGAGCTGGAGTATATCCTCAACCAGCCAGCCCAGGAGTCCCCCGATGGCGTGTACCAATTCGACAACCCGCCCAATTCAAATGCGAAGGGCGTTATACCAGCCAGCATTTGCATAGCTATTGGTACGCTTGCAGCTTTGTTGCGACTCTACGCCAAAGTGTGTTGCGTGAGAAAGGCTAGAGTGGAGGATGGTAAGTTACACACAAAACTCAAAATCCCTTGAGGATTCCTTTGTAACAAAGCCCGCTGATTATGTGTGCAGCCCTTGGCCTTTTTGGATACGCGAGTACTCCCGACATGATCAAACACAGTCCTAAAAGCTAATGTACATGTAGATTGCGTATCTTGGGATATTCATCAACTTCATTCTACTCTCCGAGAACCCAGGCCTCTGGGTCCACACCTGGGATATTCGAATCAAAGACCTCGAGCCTTATATCAAGGTACACACTTTACCGGGCGATTGGTCTTCTTCTTCTATACTAACTCACAGAGTAGCTCACGTATGCCCTCGTCACTTGCTATTCCTGCTGCATGATCTTGATGAAGGCCGCGGTTCTTCTTGAATGGAATCACATCTTCGTGCCTACTGGTGGACGCAATTGGTTTTTCTGGACGAGCTACACCGTCATGTTCATGAATGCTGGCTTATATATTGCCGGTATCGTTGCAACCTGGAAGACGTGTACTCCGATGGAAAAGGAGTATCGACCTTGGGTTGATGGTACCTGCATCGACCGCAAGAAGATGGACGAGACTATCATTGTCTTTAATCTGGTCTTTGACATCCTGATTCTGCTTCTTCCGCAGAAAGTCATCTGGGGTCTCCAGACAAGGAACAAGAACAAGGTTGGAATTGCCCTCGTGTTTTCTGTGGGTTTGATGTAAGTCACTTGAGCACAGCGAGCTCATCCCAGCCCACGGCCGCCTTGCTAACCATTATCGAATGATACAGCGCCTGTGCTTGTGCCGCCGGCCGAGTCCATGCAACCTTCACCCTGAACTATGACGACGATGCGACTTATTATTCCCCGATAGCGGAACTCTGGGCTATTGCGGAGGGCACCTGTGTTTTGCTGATCTTCTGCATCCCCAATGCACCAAGGGTCTTCAAGACTGACGATCATCTCATTACGAAGATTGCACACTCTGTGCGATCATGGTCCAGGCTTCCGTGGGCGTCGCGATCTGGATCCCAGTCCAGCCTGCCTCGATCAGTTCGCAAGCCGAGTCAGGAAGGATCTCAAGGTGACGGCCAAGGAGCGGCTGACAGCATCCCGCTCACTGATTATGACGGTTCGCATACGAATGTCAACGGTCATTTCAATCCAGCAGAGCAGACGACATTCGGAGCACTCCCAAGCCACCCCGAGTCTCACACGGCAGCGAACCCTTACCATCCATGGGACCAAAATGCACCAAGGCAAACATAGCCAGCGTGTTGATGATTCTGGATCTGACGTTCGATTAAGCGATCATGAATGAGATGTGATTCTGTGTGTAGGCGATATATACGTGCACAGAGAATATTGCGAGTGGAAGTTGTGAATGCCTATTTTATTGTTGGATATACCTAAGTCAAAGAAAAGGAAAAAGAAGAAAAACAGGAATATGGACAGAGGGAGAATAAGCATTCCATTCTCCTTCGAGTTTGATTTTGGAGTGATTCAGAAGAAGGAGGGGAAAGATGGAAATCAAAGAAATAAGAACTCCCCAACCAACCTGTCTCTACATTTCATACATCAAGTGAAGCTTATTTCAGCTATAGACTTCTACAGAGTATGTATTTTGCATTGCAATCAATGCCCATGTCATGAAACCACTGGGTTAGGACATTCCGTGTCTGCGGTGAGTTGCTTTGCACAGTACAGACGAGACAGACAACGGACTGTCTCCAGATTTGGAAGGCCCCTCAAACCACGACTCCACCCAATCGCAGGGATTGAGCCCTGCATCTGCATGCTTACCATGGACTATCGGTTGGAGAATGGACCCAAAGCCAGCAGATTCAGCAGGGGGCAAGGGGGGAGGTCCCAGCGGAACGGTGATCCAGGAAAGCCGGTAGCTGCCGGGGGTGCTTGTTCTTTAGCCATTTACTTCGAACAAAATATCGCCTACAGAAGGACCATGCAGGCATGCCGCAGGTCACACCAACCCAGAACCTTTGATTGGCCGATCACTTTGTCGTCTTGGACCAACCAAATGGGGGAGCAAGGGCATTCATCGCCGACGGATTTGGTCGGTTACAGGTTGCTTTACTATCTCTAATCTGTACTTTGTACACACCTCGTGCGTTGGAACTGTCCTTCTTCCGTTCCCAAAGTCCGGTCAGGCCTCTCGGAAAAGACAAAATGAGCCGAGGCCCCTAGTCTACGGTTCTCTTAGATGCGCCTTTGCCTTGCTGAAAACGATCTCTTTCCAATAGAGATTTCCGTAGTTAGTGCGGGAGTCTTGGCTGATTTCTGCCCTCTTTGTTGTCCTGCTTTTGCCTCCCTGTCATTGGTTCTCGCTGGACAAGATGAGTCTCTCGGGGCTGATATATACATTTACGCTATACGCCGCGTGCGTAATTGTGCCTTATGTAAGACTGCTCTGCCTACCAAAGGTATTGGATTTTAAAATTGACTGATTATGGGCATATAGCTTTTATTTCTGGTGATCTATCGTGTCTCGTATCATCCGCTTCATAAATACCCAGGGCCTTTAGTCGCAAGATTCACCGACGGATATGCTGGTTTCCAGGCACTCGCGAGGCGAACCCATACCAATATATTCAATAACCACGTCAAATATGGTCAGTATACAAAACTAAAAGGAAAAGGCACTGTATCGATCATTCACTTATCATAACCAAGGCCATGTTATACGGTATAGCCCAGACAGACTCTTATTCAATACCGTGACAGCATTTCAAGGTAGGATGACCAAGGACAAGTCAAAATGTATGCATCACAGCTAACAAGTGCCTAGAAATATATTCGAGTCCGAGAATCACGAAATCGCATGTCTATGTTGCCTCACGGCTCGGCACTGCTCCCAGCCTCTTTAGTACGTTTGAAAGAGATTTGCATCGCCAGAAACGACAGATCATGGGCCAGCCGATCAATGAACGCTCCATGAGAATATTCGAGCCCACAATGTCGCGGCAGGTAGATATATTCTTACAACTATTATCTCAGAACTGTCGAGACTCAAAGCCTGCCAATATGACGGACATGTGCCAGCGCCTCGGATTTGACGTCATCGGACACCTGGCCCTTGGCTGTGATCTGAAAATGCAGACCGAGGAGAAAAACCGTGTCATGATCAGGCTTCTCACAGTCGCCAAGATGCGAGTCAACGCCTTTATGCATTTTCCGGCTCTACAGTCATTCGATTTCATCCTCAAGGCTCTTCCCTCAAAAGATGCTGTTGAATTCAAGCGCATCGTGACAGAGATTATCAAGAACCGTGTGGCAGAAGATGACAGAGGACAGCATGATTTATACGCACTCATGGCTGACCATATCAAGCCCGGTGGCCTCTATGACGGCATCCTCTGGAGCGAGGCCATCTTCTTCATGACGGCGGGTGGAACTCCTCCCGCCGCAACCATGAGCGCCGTCTTCTTCTACCTGTCGCGCTATCCCCAGTGCTACGAGAAGCTGGCACGGGAGATCCGCACTACCTTTGCCTCGGGCCGAGATATCCAAGGCAGCGCCAAGCTGTCTGCCTGCAAGTACCTGCGCGCCTGCATCGACGAGGCACTGCGCATGGCGCCGCCGTCCCTGGCCACGCTGTGGCGGGAACAAGCGGCCGACGACCCGCAGCGCGACGCCGGGCCCGTCATCATTGATGGCGTTGTTATCCCGCCCGGCACCCAAGTCGGAGTCAATCTATACGCGTTGCACCACAATGAAGACTATTTTCCCAACCCCTTCACCTTTAATCCTGATAGATGGCTAGACGATACTGATGAAAAGAGTGACACTCACCGGGCGTTTGCGCCCTTCATCATTGGTCCCCGGTCTTGTGCGGGCAAGGCCATGGCCTACCTCGAGATCAGCCTCGTCATAGCGAAAACAATCTGGTACTTCGAGTTTGAAAAGGCACCAGGTCCCCTCGGCGACGTCGGCCAAGGGAAAAACGAAACCGGAGCAGGAATCAGCCAACCCAAGGAGTATGAGCTGTTTGATATGTTCAACGCCAACCACAATGGGCCATATCTAGTCTTCAAACGTCGCACGGATTGCCCCGATGAGCTTGAGAACTAGGTACTTGGTATATTTACTTGCAGATATAAGTACGAGGTATACAGCGTCTGAAGGCGTGCATATCTGCGCCTTTGCTAGCAAATAGTTCACTTGAACCAAAATGGAAAGGCCTTGAGTGCTTTTGTTTCATTTTCATTTCATCTACCCAATCCCGTGCTTATGCGCCTCCGACAGATTAAGAAACACCAATCGCACAGCCTCGTATATAGCTCGTAGATCGACAGTGAAAGCAAAAGCAAAAGCAAAGGCAAAAGGTAACTCGGTTCCTTGCAAGGCCCTGGGCCCTCCTCCCTTCCTCATCCACCGCGAGCCACCCACATCTTCCATTCAAAACTATAAATAATTCCAAAGTACGAAACCATATATATTTAGATACATATAGCGCGCGACTAGTCCCCGCAATTGGGATGTTAGCCATTATAGTCAGTCGCGAATCCTTATACTTGGGCAGGCGACGACTCCAAGCTCAGAACATTACGTATTCGGCCCACAAGAAGGTCGATACACAAAAAGCAAAAAAGGTTGATCATACGAAAAAAAAAAGTACAAAAAGAATGCTTGCATGAGCATTGAATGGATCTGGCGTCACCCGGAATCGAACCGGGGTCTTCACGGAATTGCCCGTGGTCGAGGAACTGTTGATATTCCACAACGTGATGTACTGACCACTATACTATGACACCTCGGTTTTATAACCCTCGTCTGATGATTAGTCATCTGATGTGAGAAAACCTCGATTATCTTAGACTGGATAGTTTCTGCCTGGCACATTATTTCGAAATGAAGAATGGTAATCCTATTTATCCGTTGACTAGTGCATGATCTGGTTGTAGTCCGGGCAAGTTGTTTTCTATTGTCGGATGCTTCCAAGACCGTCAGAGTCTAGTCATTATAAAATATCAAGGTGAAAACGATACGAGAAAAGGTAAATCAAAATAAATCAAAAGGTGCATATTTTTAGGTTGGCAAACAAATATTCTGGGGGCAAAACCAACTTTTAGTTATAGCACAAGTCATTATGGATTCCAGACACAAAAAAAATAGAGAGACAGAATCAGCAAAAGATTGGCGTTACCCGGAATCGAACCGGGGTCTTCACGGTATTGCACGTGGCTGAAGTTGAACCAACTCCACAACGTGATGTACTGACCACTATACTATAACACCTCGGCACCCGGTTGGGCTTTGCTGTGATTTGATGTTGAATTTGGCAGACTATTTCATTACATGATAGAAATAGTCCTTGGCGGTGGATACCCGCCTTCGACTGCTAGTCAGAACCACAGGAACAGGTTGGCTGCCCAAGCCAGGTGTAAAAGGCAATTCAAAAATTGATATCACCCGAGATCGAAAGCTAAAGCACAAGTGCTCTCTTTCGCATTCTTGCTGTTAACATCGGTGGGCTGAGGTATAACAGCAACAGTCAACTTTGGTATTGTATCCCAGTCCGCGGCTGTAATGGTGTAATGCGTACGAAAGTCTGTGAAGACTGCTAATACAATTGGTCGCTATGTATCTTCTATTGAATTTCCTATATTAAAATGGTATCCTTGACTTCTTGCGCTCATGTGGTCATCCTATCTTTTGAATGATGTGAATTACAGTTCATGTTGATCATGGCTAATGATGCAATAGTCTTGGCCGGCCTAGGCAAGACCAAAACCTTGAGTGTTTTCCAAGGCAAATCCCAGTCTCTCTCTAAGAGTCTCCTTGTCTTGGTACTCGGGCAACAGTAAGATGCCATAGCACGTGTAGGCAGACGGCAGGCGGCCATGCTTACCCTCAGCGGCACCGTTCTTTTGGATGACAAACTTGATGTTGCGCATGCCGCCGACCGGTACACGATCGCTGGCTGTCACAAACTCGAGCAGCTTGCGTTTCTTGTTCTCGTCATAGCGCTTGACGATACTCCAGAAGTCGCGGATTGTGCGATGAGTAGCGTCCCAACCCTCGTATCGTGCAGCCCGGCGAAGCTCATTGATATCAATTTCCTGCACTCCTTCCACAATAGACTGCAATAATTGTGGTGTGAGGAGTTGCAAGGACTTTGGGAGGAGACAAGTTCGAAAGCCGCGGGCAAAAGCCTCGTATTGCGGTGCAACGCTGACGTCTGTGAGGTAGCGAATATAGTCGCTGACGTAGGCTTCGCGATTGTCTGCGGTCACAAGAGGCGCATCCTCGGGATTTTCCGATGCCAGTGTTGCAACGCTGGCACCCGAGAATTGTGGCCAAGTGATGCTTTTGGACGAATCCATTTCCCGTGAGACGGGCTGTTCAAGCATGTTGACCGAGAACTCATAAGTGCGGGCAAAAATATCATCGACAGTACCATCTGCCTCATCCCACTCGAGGAGACTTGTGAGACCATTGGCAAGATCGGGCCAGCCGTCCGAAATATGGTGTAATTCCGTCACCGGCTCGCCAAGAATCTTCATGTACAAAGCTTTCGGAAATGTGATCGGCAATGTGAGACCATTGAACACGGCGATAGACACGAGCAAGCCAATAAGCTCGAATTTCCATTCTGGCTGCAATGACCCGGGCTGGAACCATGTCATTCGGGTTCTGTCATCGACTGTGAAGCCGCCATAGTCCGGGTTCAACGCTTCTGCAAGGGCCAGTCTGAAAAATTCTTGCTGAACGCCGCCAGAGTCGAAGCCCTCTTCTCCAGCATCCTCGCCTAGGTGGACCTTCAACGGCCTGAGCAGTTCTCGTTCCTGCCTCCTCCACAATTGATCAAACGCGTCGCGCAGGATCGTCTTACGACCAATGTCCAAGATCAAGAACTTGGATGAAGCAACCTTGAGCATGTCCTGGAGAACGCCCTTTTGATGTCCATCTGTCACAAGACTGTCCATAGCTATTATCGAGCTGATTCGCGTCTGCAGCGAACTAGACTCTTCATATGACCGGCTCATGCGTGAGAAATTGATGGCTCGAAAATACGACACCAGGGATGAGTTTGGAAATATGTACGGATAATCGAGTAAATGTGCCGCTCGCCGGGTCGAGTCGTATTCTAGCCAGGTAACAGGCATCTCAATTGAGTCAAGACGATCGCTGAAATATTCAATGCGGAAGATGGCATCGCCTAGGAGAAGTGACTTCCGCTTTTGGTCTACTCTAACGTCAGCTGTATAATTCGCAAAAGTGCTGTCACTATAATAAGACTTACGTATGGCCGCAATGAGTGCAAGCGCACCACCAAAAGGGCCATCACCGGGGACGTCTGGCCTTCCTTGCCACTCATTCAACATGATCGTACGTGCCCAGTCGAGAAGCAGGATAGGCATCCGCTTTTCGTGTACCTCTCGTTCTTCCAATGAAAAATCACCAGATGGATGCATTTCTCTCCCTGGTTCAAGGTGAGACAGCACGATGTCAAGGACATCTGTGCTATGCATTGCATCTTCTGGATCCATGTCAAACTTAACGAGCTCATCGAAATATCGCCGTGTTGGGATTGCTGCCAGCACCCTGCGCGCCAGTCGCAGCGCCATGTCATTTGTGAACGCATCTTCGTATTGTAGACAAAGAGAGTAGCCATGTCGAACAACAAAACCATATTCGGATAGGGTTAACCCCCGAGATCTAATCCTTGACATGTCGAACAAGCATGTTGCGTTACTGACCAAAGGAGCTGCAGCGACGAGAGCATGCAAACAGATGGATATCAAGAAACCAGCTTCCTTGTTAGACAGTGATGTCACAGTTTTGGCCAAGCCAGAGAGTTGTGGCTCTGCTGATCTCAGAGCGCTTGGAGGTGCAAACAGGCTTTCAGAAGCTTGCCATAGACTATCAAATACCAGACTCGGGGTAGCTCTGGTTAGACGCAACATGTGATAGAATAGTGTCTGAGATTCCATAAGACCGCCGGGCGTTGTGAAAGATTCGAGGACGGCGTTTGGGTCACTGAGAACATTATAGACGCTTTGCTCAATGAATAGCTTCCACTCAAGCTTGAGAAGACGAGGATATGATTTGTGGGTGGGACTTCGCCTTTTCAGGACTGGACGACTGCCCACGCTTCCTACGAGCATGTGTTCTTCTACACTGCTGTCTTGCTCCAACACATCACAGAAGAGGTTTGTAATATCCTTATTGAGTCGAGATATAGACTGAGGAAGGAAGTCGGCATCGGGTCTTGCATCAAGGTCTTCCGTATCAGCGCTAGATTCCCGAGAAGTAGAGTATCCATTTGCTGATGGAACAACGTCGCCATTGTTTGAGGTAGCCTTCTGGGAAGCCTTTGAGTAGAGCAGTGGTCCTCTCAAGTCGTTGTATGCATCAATTTCAGATAGAGATGGGGTTTGTGCGCCGTGAGCTACATCGTTCAATCGATCATTGGAACGTGGTTGAGCTGCCACTGAAGAAGCCTTGGCCGAGGATTGGGGATGTTTACGGCCCGGTGACCTAGGAGATAAAGGGGACTCAGATCCGCCAAGAGCATAATCTATCGCGGCTTCAGGGATATCCTCCGCCGCCAACGGCCGGTGCTTAACGGGCGATGGCCGTAGACGAGGGTGCGAGTGTGTTCTTGGATGCACCGGCCGAGCGCTGGAGTTGGAATTACCACTCAAGGACGTAGCCCTTGGCCTGGTGGCAACAGATGGTGAATCTTGGTCGAGTTTTGCATGAGCCACGATGGTCTCAGATTCGTGTACGTTCTCTCCGTCTGGGTCGCGCTCCACTGATGTATTTGAATCGTTTGGGTCATTTGAAGATGCCGATGGCACAAATAACTCGTCGTCTGAATCATCTGCTGTAGACGGCTCAGTGCTGGCATTGGGCCATCTATCTTCAAGAGCAGCAGCGCTGTTTTCAGATATGGTCTGCAAGTTGTTCGGTGCCAGCCACTCGAGCATCTTAAACGCGACAGACCCAAACACGTTGGCAGCAAATGAGCGGTAATCCTTACGAACAGGCCTTTCGTTGATTGAGATGGTCAGATCTGGGTTGTTAGTCGCTGAAAGGGCATTTCCAGCTTCTGTATCACCATATCTCGAGCCATTGGAGTCCTGCTGGTTTCGAATCCGGCTCGTTGGTGCTGGGCTTTCATTAGGATGCCGTGCATCTTGATGCGTTGTGGCTTCGAGACCGGGAGGCAGATGGCGCCGGATTCTACTTCTAGAGTCTGGTGACAGGCTTCGCCCACGGCCATTCGCCCTCTTTGCTTTCCGCCCATCACCAACTTTGGGACCTGTCGAGTGCAGCTTGGGCGCAAAGATCAGAGATCTCGTAGCGTCATTGCAACTGCGAGAGTCGAGATTCGGGCAAAGGTACTGTTCAGGGTTGTCTTGGGACGCTAGATGTACCGCTAGAGTTCGAGCACTCGTGGGATTGTATCTTCGGACGGGAGCCTTGCCAGCCAAACGTCTGCGGCAGCTGAAGCATGACGCAGTCCGACAATCGTCGAGGCCACAGCCATGTCGTAGCTGAACTACAAACTTCTCGATGAGGAGTTGCAGGTCATGACGACGGATGGCACGCTGTATGGTGTAGAGTCTTTTCGGGTTCTCGATTGCGATGACAAAGTCTTTCAGCTCGGGCGGCGCATCGGATGGCAGTCGCGGGAACGGCACTTCCTTCCAGAGCGCAGCCAGAATCTCGGCTTCGAGGCCATCGGAGGTGCAGCCGCGAGCGCTGCCAGCTGTGTCTCTCGTCATGGCATCGGCGTGCGATATAGAAGAGGTTGGTGGCCTTGTTGGGAGCAAGAGTACTGCTGAGGCTGCCTGTCCTGGCTATCCAGCGAATCGTAACGGCTGGTAGGCGCCGCCGCCAGGTCCTAGGTCGACGACAGGTTTCGTGTGTCACAAGCGTACCGTGCAACAATCGACAGGCTTCCTTCAAGATATGCAGATCATTGTGGCGTGTCAGGGGATGGTTGGAAATGTTGCCAGAGGGCAGAATAGTCGTTCCACGCCAAATAGCGTATTAGGGGTAGATTCCGTTGGAAAGGATCGCGGAGCAGTTGTGTCAAGTTGCTGGCGCGATGATGCGCAGCGCCGGTCAGACGGATGGACCTAACGTGGGTCCCGGCGGACGGGCTGGCGTCCGCCCCGGGCTGCCAGCAAGCCATGATTAATGGAGGCAGCGGCCAGCTCCTCAGGGCTCATGGGTACCTACCTGGATAGGCACGCTAATGTAGAGTCATGTAGGGACTCTTGATTACATGAGCTTCAAACAGTAAAAATAAGTTTTTAGACCCAGGTGAGTCTCAAATTCTAGGTGATTCTAAAAATGATATTTGTAAGGAACAGGTTTCTCCATATGACCTTATTTCTTGCCGTGTCAAGCAACAGACTCCAAGGTAGTAAAAACCAGCAAAGATATCGGCGGAATACCCGTATCACACTTAGTAGCCAGGCCTTTTGGGAGGGACCAACCGCAGCAATGTCAATTACAACCTAGGACAGACATCGTCGTGCTCTGCTGATACCGCCAACGCCACTACTGATGTATTGCGTGCTAGTCCCGAGCTGATGCTTTCTTACAACAAACAAGTCTCTGCTTGGGCTTGCATTGTTACAGATTGCAATCATATTGAGTCATCCTGGGAAGTGGGAAATCATATGCATTGCCACCTGCATATAACGTACATCTCAATCGTTTAGACACTTCCGAAACACGTGCCACATCAAGGTTTGGATAAGGTTGCACGGGCAGGCTTTGGCAGGCAAAGAACGTTGTGATGAGGGCAACAGAGCAGGCAGGGCAGGATGGAGAGCTACTCTGTAATAGTAAAAGGTTGACAGTTGAGTCGCACAAGTCCCTTTCGATGCATAAGTTACGAAAAACTTCCTGTATTTACACCGTATGGAGACAAAAACAAAACACACTCGACTACCTCTACCAATAAAGCGAGACAAGGAGAGTGAAAATCACGTATCAATTGTCTGGACCGATCAAAAGGGCATGTAGTTTTACAAATGTAGATCTCAAGTTACTAACCTAGGTAGTAGAAAGGTAGGTAGGTAGGTACCTGCCTCTCTCTGCCTTAACACCATATGGGCCCGCAGCTAGCATCGCCAAGCACGAGCCCTGGCGTGCCCTGACGTATTGTAGGCCTGATAAGCTGCGAATCCGATAAAAATATAGAAAAAAACCCCCACCACACGCCACTTTGACTCAATTTTCTTGATAGGCGCCGATAGGCCTTGGGTCAAGGGAAGATATCTCTTCAGTTGTTAGAAATACTCACGACGTGCATGTATTTGCAAAACTTTTCAGCTGTGAGATTGGGCAGAAATTAGCTTTTGCCATTGCATGACGGTTGGAAAATAACCTCATCTAGTCTCGTGCTTTGAGTCTTTTAGTAATCACCCCTCCTTCGTTCAGACCCGTGGACGTTGAAGAATTCTGGGAGACTCCATAAAAAAGAAAGCCGCCGCCTCAACCCGCCACCTTCTTCGTCACTACCTGCGACTTCCAGAGACCTTCTGGAACATTTTGTTCAAATAAAATATCACCTGCCTTCACCTGCGTGGTCCCGATCGAGTCAGACTCTGTCGGCACCCTTACGAAGCAGATTGTGCGCATCCACTACCCTTGTCAACCGACCCGGCAACCGCCATCGTATTATTGTTCAGTGACTGGTGTTTGCGAGACAATCGCAGCAGTCATTCACGATGGCCTCCATCGCAGGCAATCGCAATGCCGCCGCCGCCTCAGGCGCATCCGCCAAAGTCGATTCTACCACCCACCAGTACACCTGCAACACTTGCCAGGTTGCTTTCCGACTCGCCGACACCCAGAAGGGACACATGAAGAGCGATTGGCAGTGAGTGCAAAAGACTACTCCTTCAGGCCATGGTTGAATTCATGTTTATTGTGCCCGCTAACAGCCACTCCCACTGTGCAGTCGGTATAACCTCAAGCGCCGAGTTGCGTCTCTCCCCCCAATCTCCTCTGAAGTCTTTACCGAAAAGGTCCTGCAAGCGCGCGCTGCAACCACTGCCGAGGCCGACCGCGCTGGTTTCCAACAAGTCTGCGACGTTTGCCAGCGTACTTATTTCAGCGAGAACTCTTACCGAAACCACATTGGTAGCCGCCAGCACAAGGCCAAGGAAGCAGCAATGCAGCGCAAGGCCGACGGTAGCGTCGCTGGGGATGATGCCGCAAGCACCATTGTCAGCTCAACCTTTTCTCTGGGCGAGCCTCTACCCAAGGAAGAGGTCGACTCGGATGCTGAGGATGAATTCAGCGAAGTTGTTGAGGGTCTCAAGAAGACGAATCTGCACGAACGACCTTCCCCTGTCAAGCGCCCGACCAACCCTCCTCCGTCCGCCGAAGGTCAGCACTCAAGAGAGCACCCAGTTTCCGAGAACTCGAGTCAACCTGTTTCGAGCTCTGCAACTCCTGTTCCGACCCTTACTCTCAAGTCCTGCCTTTTCTGTAACTACGACTCTCCCACTGTTGCTCTGAGCGTGGTCCACATGGAGAGAATACACGGGATGTTCATTCCCGAGAAACAATACCTGGTCGATCTCGAGGGTCTCCTCAAGTCTCTCCAAGAGCGTATTCAAGAACTGAACGAGTGTTTGTACTGTGGCAAGATGAAGAACAATGCGTTCGCCGTCCAGACGCACATGCGCGACAAGGGCCACTGCAAGATCCCTTTCACAACCGAGGAAGAGCAGCTGGAGATTGGCGAGTTTTACGACTTCCGCAGCACTTACTCAGACGATGAGGAGGAATCCGACGACGAAGAGGAAAACGACAAGTCAGTTGGTGGTGCCAAGCTTGGTGCCCACAGGGCAACCAAGGCTGTTGATGAGGCCGGCGACGAAGTCATGGAGGAGGATGGCTGGGAGACAGACAGTTCGGCTTCGTCGTGTGATTCTGATGAGCTCACTTCGATCCCTGTTGATCCACACCTTCACCAATATGAACGACTTGATAAGCACCCACACCACTCTTCGCGGGACCCTCGTCACCACCACCAGATGGATGGATGGCACTCGCATGCTCACAAGCATCGCGCCGTCTTTTACGATGACACCCAGCTGCACCTGCCCTCCGGTAAGGCTGTTGGTCACCGTTCTCTCAACAAGTACTACCGCCAGAACCTCCACGCCCACCCGTCGCCAGAGGAGCGTGCCGAACGCCTGGCGATTGAGGCCAGCGCAGACCCCATGGACGTCGACGGAGCCGACAACCAGGTCGCCAACCGCCGTGAGCGTGGTCGCAATGGAGCATTGGTTACTCGTGCCAATGGAGGACTCGGCATGACCAACGTCACAGATGAGAAGAAGTCCGAGGTACGACGCGCAGAGCTACGGGCTCGCAAGCGGGAGCACAACGCCCAAAGACGCCAAGAATGGGGTGTCAACAAGCAAAACAACAACCAGAAGTATTACAACTACCAGATTTTGTAGATACTCTCTCTGGTTGGCGATTTAATGCGGAAGGAAGCTTTGCAATGCATTTACGAAAATCAATAACGTTAGTTTGTGCTCTTTTGCGGCATATTTTGCTTTGATAGATGGGTGCCGCAAAGCGTCTCGAGTTACCAAAGCACTTGCTGCTGATAGTACTTGGACGAAGCTTGTTAGGTAGCACAATCAATAGACGGATGTTTCATGACCAAACTTGTGATCCTCAGTTATGCTGACCATGATTTCTCGTCCAATTTGAGGTCTCTGGATCATATTAATCGAGCGTCCATTGTAGACGTGAATCTGTACTTGCAGATTGCCATGCATCCAGCAATTTTAACGCATCCCTGGTTTGCAACAGTGGTACTGGAAGCAACAGAAGTAACTACACAATGGGAGAAGCATATTATCTAAGCTAGAGTTGAGTGATTCTATCAAAGCCCAGCCAAAGCTGCCCGCTCTGGGGGTGAGCCGTATAGCCGTCGGTCGGCTCGATACCATCATCATTTACAATACGGCTGGCAAAATTGGAATATATGGCAGCAATCAACAACTTCATCTCATACATGGCAAAGTTGGACCCCAGACACATTCGCCCTCCGCTCGAAAACCCCCAGAATTGCCGATGCCTCTGCTCTCGCGCTTCTTCTTCCTCTTCTTTTGAATCGTCCTGCTCAGACTCGCGTAACCATCGCCTGTGATCCCATGTCTCGGCGCTCGGAAAACACCTCTCGTCCCGGTGCAGGTTGTATACTGATGCTGAAATACGGACACTCCCAGGGATCTCGTACAGCCCGACGCGGCAGGACGGTGAAGGGGTGACGCGCGGCTCGGGGCCGCCGGCTGGTGCATAGCGTCTCACGGTCTCGAGGATCACGGCCTGTAGTATGGGCAAGGCATCCAGTTGTTTCGGGTCCGGCATGCTGGCGGTTTTACCACCTACGCCATCACCACCGCGTCGATGCATATTCGGCGTCAAGCCCAGGAGCTCGGCTCGCAGCTCGCTTTGCAAGGTCGGCGATCGGGAGAGATGCCAGGTCAGATAGGTCAGCGTGACGCCCGTCGTCTCCTGGCCGGCAAGGACGTGGTCAAAGACCTCGGAGGCCACCGAGAGCTCCCGCCGGCGAAGCAAGGGTGAGTAGACTGTCGTGGCCGCCATCTCGGGAGAGATTTGCGATTCCACCTTTTCGATGCCCGACAAGATTGAGCGCACGACGACGGGGTCATTGGCAGTCTGTTCGTATGAAGACAAATCTGGATTCTGCACCATGGCAATGGCGGCGTCCGAAAGACTTTTACACCAGGCTTCGAGCTCCTTGTTTGCGGCAGTGGCCCAATGCGGTGTCAGGTTCAATCCCAGTAGTTGCAACGCCCTGGAGAGTCGGGGCAGTTCTTGCATGAAGAAGCCATTCGTCTTTCGGACCTTGTACAAAGCCAGCCAGTGTTCACGATAACCCTTGCGTTGAATGAAGTTGGATCCGTTGCAGAGACCGAAACAGTAAGCCGATATCAAGTCCATCACCGTGCCTGGAAAGAGGGAATGCACATCAATACCGTGACCGTTGGATGAATCAAGTAATGGCAACAATCTCGAATTAATAACTTCATCACACTGAGATGCCAGGGCGATGGAAGAATGAAGAAACGATTTTGAGTAGACATGAGATACCATGCGTTTTCTCACTGAATGATGTTTTGACTCCTGTGCGGAGAAGGCACACGGAACTCTGCCGTCCTGTCAGCTGTCATTTCATACCTCGCTACGATTTCCAGTCACTGTACTCACCCGTAGTTATTAAACACAGAATACCATTCATGCTTGTCAAAACCGCCCTGGTAGACATCCTTGACGAGTTCCATGTCGGCAATAGACACTTCATGGGGACCAACTCGGACGATGGGCCCGCATCTCTCGTGCGCCTCAAACAGCGTCTTGTTCTCGCGACTCTGGAATCGAGCCCAAAGGATCCATATGGGCGATATGGAACAAGACCAATGCGCAGATGGTAATTTGGACAGAGACGTCAGGCATAACGGGTACAGGATGTATTTGTACAGAAGCAATGCTGTGATCAGCCAAAAGGCCGCATTAGACATAGAAACGGAGTCCATTCGGCTGATACACTATATACCGTCTATGTATAGCAGCAGGGAGGAAGTTGTATAATGAGAGAAGAGGGGCCAGCAATGGATGACCTCTGCAGCCATTTTCGGGGTCTTTATCAATGCTACCTGCGACCAATGCTCGCTTAGAGACTGGCCAGCAATTCATTGATAACGACCGTGAACTTTATCTGGAGTCACTTGACGATGCCCATCTTTTACTATCTAGGTTTGGGCTGCACTGGATTGGCAACATTATCCAAGTTGGTTTAATGTGACAGACTTGCTATCACTCAGGGAATCAATTTGGTGGGAACATAATAACTATACGAATAGTGATATAACACACCCGAATACACGATAATGCAAATCCTCTTAGCATTTCACAATTGCACTCACTTTACTTATGCACCTTCAATTATACTTGGATTATGCCAATAATATGGGTACCTGGTTGGAAGACAGGGTCCATCCAGCGCATGTTTAAGTACAATGGCGGGGTCATGTTGCGCACTGGCAAACACTAACCTAGAAATGTCATTCCATGAGGCTTGGGATACCTCGACCTTCTTGACGATAGTGAGTCAAAGCAAGGATTGTATGCCATAGTAAGTATATTTTCTATTCCTGTCATTGCCTCTGACTCACCGAGGCCAAATCGATTATCCACACCTGAGACAATAGTAGGGAAACCAAAAGTGAGCGGCCAAATCTGCCCAATGATGATGTCAGTCGCTAGTTCCACTTGCTATGACTCTGCATTTCGCATAGCCCAGTCAGTGGCTACCTAGAACATCCATACTTCGTGCCTGGATCCATCATCGACAACCTGCGAGCGGTGAAAATTGGCAACAAGATGAACCCGGCGTAAATGAAGCATATGCTTTTTTAGTATATCAGCGTAGGTATCTCTCCTTCGACCTAGATGGGTCGGGCAGTGAATGCATCATTAGATTGACAATCGCATTTTCGAAACACACACGACCAAAAAAGAAATCACCAGGCATGCCGCTCAATTTGAGCTCACTGAGTCTGGAGGCACATGCCCGGCTTGAAAACCTGCCACTGGATATCTTATTGATTATATTCTCCTACCTTGACACGGCCAAGAGCGTGGCAAGTCTCGGAGTGACATGCAAGAAGCTGCACAATGTGGTCAGAGCCGACGGCTGGCGCACCTTTGTGCGGAGCCACTTCAAAACCCTCTCGCTGCCCCAGGAAATTGTCGCGGATGATGACGCTTGGATGCACTGTGCAAGAGACTTGACGTGCCACTCGCGCAGCTGGGACCGCCGCGCCTTTTCCGTGGCATCCTTTGTGGCGCCGACCAAGAGGCAGCAGCCTCATCGCCATGCTGCTGGACGCGGCGGGCATGGGCATGGGCATGGATCGCATGCCCACCCCGGGGCGAGGACACAGACGATTCCTCCGCATATCGTCGTGGCGGCACATTCTACATTTCAAGGGCAACGCGAGCTGGAGACGGTGGCCTGGGGAGCGGGTGAAGATGTTGTGCTGCGCTCGCGGGTGCTGGGACGCGCCTCGCCCATCTCGGAATCCTGGCTGACAATGGAAGGGGCGCGTACGGGCTTCAGCAGTGGCAAAGACGATGTGACGGCCATTTCCATTCTAGGCGATGCAGGTGCTGATCAGAGCCTCCTCGTCGGAAGAGCGAGTGGTCATCTGCATTTGATTTCGGCTCGTGAGGCTGATTTTGGCCGCTCCATTGCTTCCTTTTGTCCTCAGGCCACGGAGGACGAGGCTGCCAGTATACAACAACGGGACTTGCAAGATTTTGCAATCAACGAGAAAAAGGATAGCGTTGCGGTTGTTACAAAAGACAACGCCCTACTCTATTCGCTGAACGATTTTCCTATAGCCTCAACCAATGGCGATGACACCTCGAATGTCGTGGTCGCGCCAAGGGAAGCCCTAGACATGAGGAACATGGAGGGATCTCGCCAATTCAGGCTTCTCCGTACGGTCAAATTCATGGGTAACGGAGACCTGGTCGTGGGCATGACGGGCAGTCCAGAGCCGTTGCGATACATTACGAGGACGCCAACAGGACTGGATATGCTCAACGCACCAAAACTGCGTCCATCTCCTCGCTGTTCCGAGTCCTACATCTACAATGACCGCGACTTGCAAAACGTGCGAGGTCTTCTGCCCATCAGCCCATCAGCGATTGCCGGTGGATTCGGCAACGTTATACTGAGTTCCTACGATGATGGCACGATTCGGCTGCAAGATTTGCGCAGCTCATCCGCGATCGATACCATTTATCAAGACCACTTTGAGGTCATGACACCCGTAGGACCTCTTCTGTCCCATGGTCTGGAGAGGTTCATTGCCGGAAGTGCCCGAACTTCGAGCTTGAAGATCTTTGACTTTCGGTGGACCAAGGGATACAATTACACAGAGGCACTTCCTTGCAGCGAGCGCCCGCTAGAACCGTTGCCGAAGCCGCCAACCATGATCGATTGCCCCAGTCACATGGCCACCCGAAGATGTAATCATCGTCTTGGTCTATCGTGCAACCGCCATGCTCTTGCCAGGACAGACTTTTACCGACCAAATTGCAATCTATATCTGCCCGTCATCAATCAGTATGCGTCTCCGATATACTCCCTGGCGAAGCCGTCCGACTTGTCGTCAAACATATACGCCGGACTGGCCGGACAACTCGTCAGAGTTGGTCTGAGAGGCAACATAGATTTCATGATCAGTGAGAATACCCTAGAGCGGGTGAATTTCAAGAGGGACCATGCCGGGTACAGCTATCACGAGAGTTCCATCAGTATCATAGAGACGGGAGATGGTCTGGCTCTGAATGATATCAGTAAGAGCCAGAGGGTCCCAGAGATTCGCAAGCAAAGCCGTGCACCGACTAGGCCTATCTCCAAGGCGGGAAAGTATCGGCTCGATCTTCTGCTGGTGTAGATTGGGTTCAGCGACAACAGGTAATAGATCACATAGAAATGCATCAACAGTGTATCAACATGAGCTTTAGAATTTACAATCATGTTCTTTTACATAGACTCCTCATCACAATCAATTTCCATTATGAAACAGTGTTGCATAGCAGTGACTATTGGGCGCCTTTTGAGTAGTTGCTCTCTGGTCACTGTCTGAGGTATCTGATTTCAGTAAATATAATTACAACAGTGTACAGTGCAGCAGAGTACTCGGATGAAAGTTGCGAATGACAACCTCGTAATAAACCACGCAGAGTGATAGCAATAAAGACTGAATGATTTCCACGACGCTCATTTTCTAAAGATCAATCAAGCTTTCCTCAACTATGGGTTGTTGTGGTGCATGCTGTGGAGCCGAAGGGAAGGATTCTTGGTTGAAGCCTGCCTGATAACCAGGATTTCCAGAAGGATAGGTCTGCGGCTGCTGACCAGTATGTTGAGGTTGCTGCCAATATGGCTGCTGTTGGTACTGCTGCGGTGCTTGGGCGGGTTGCTGCTGCGTAGGCTGTGTAGGTTGGGATAGCTGTGAGGCAGGAGTCGGGGGAACTGATTGCTGTGCGTATCCTCCAGGCTGCTGCAGATTGGGATATGGTGAAGGTGTGGCAGGGTCGCCCGCTACACTAGGCGTCTGTCGACCTTGACTGTGTTGTGGGTTGTTATTGTAATAGAAAGCTGTACTGGGATCAGCAGTGGGTGTGCTGACCGACTCCGGGGCTCTCGGGGGTTGGTTCTGGGTATGAGGCTCACTGGGAGCACTGGGGGCGTATCCTGGACCAGGATAATGTGCAGGGGCTGAAGGTGTTTGATTTTGCCAGCTATCGCTCCTCTGCGCCTGTTGTTGCTGAGGATAATGGACAGAGGTCCTTCTATCATATTGGGAGAACTGTGGCTGTGGTGTCTGAGCTGATGGAGGATACTGCTGTGGGGTTGCGTAATGCACCGGTTGTTCGACACCATAGAAGTTTTCTGCCGGACCTGAGGCACTCGGCACGCTTGCGTGCATGGACGGATATTGGCCAGTAGACTGACGAGGAGCAGGATAATTGTATCCAGAGACTGTATGCTGACTATATGTCTTGGACAGCCTATCCTCCAGCATCCGGTCGTAATATCGTACAACTGTGGATAGCTTGGAATGCAGGTCAAGTAAAGTATCTGCAAGTCATCAATTACACTGTCCTTGATACGGTGGTCGAATAAAACTTACCGTGCTTGCTCATCGTTTCACCATATGTCCGCGCCAACTTTGGCCGCAATGTGCCAATAGAATCGTAGAGCTCTTGAATCTGCGGTTCTCGGAGTATGGTACCAGGAGGCTGTGTCTGAAGGCGGTCCACAAGGGTGGCAAAAAGATTTATGTTTTCTGCCTCCACGGGCGACAGCTCATAGTCATTTTTGGGAAGGGCAAAAGGAGTCGAAGATGATGCGGTGTGACTCTGGCTGGTGTGTTCCTTGAGCGCCGCAGCATGCTGCTTTTTTTGCTCCTCCATATCAGCCAAAGATGCAGCAATTGCAGCCTTGAGGTCTTCGTCCTCCTCATCGGCTGATTTACTCGCGTTCGAGGCACCGTTGGTCTTTGGAGCGGTTGCTGTTGTATTTGGGGTGTAACCATGGCCACCTGAGTGACTCTGAACCTCCTCCAAGCTCATGGCGAGTGCTTTCTTAAGGTCCTCATCAAAAGCCTCATCAACCCGGGCATCGCGTGGCTGCATGGCTGATGTGCTCCTGTTCTTGTGTGGAAAAGATGAGGTCGTGGGCGTGCGTTCCGGCGGCCCAAAGCCCCCTTTGCCACCCTTATCGGTAAGTTTGGCGTAGCAGCCATCATCGACACGGACGGGTTGCATTATACCCAAGTGCGGCAGCGGCAGCGTCTTGGTTGAGCACTGCTGGTCGAAGCAATTACCACAGTTCCGGCAGTGGTGTTTTCGGTTGGTAAAGGTGAAGGCAGTCCGGCATCGCATACACACGTCCGAGTCGGTCCATTCTGGGGGCGCACTGCTATCAATCATGCTGCTGGCAACGTTCACTCGGGGTGGGAACTGGAAGCCCTCCCTCTGGAGCGTCTTGTATGTCTCGTCAATGTACTTGAGCTCGTAGCGATTTTCTGTGGCAGCAGCCCAAGACTGAATCAACTCCAGTATCTTGTTCCGAACGTCCAGGTTCACCGCCGCGGGCCCAACTGCGTGAAGAAGCGAAACCAAGTTGTCCATGAACTCTCGGGAGGCGATCTCGACTAGGAAATGGGCACCGCCATTCTTGACGCACGTATCGGTCAGGTTCAGAGCACTCAGTTGAGTGTTTGGGTTCTTATTGCCAATGCGACGCTTGAGCGATCGCATGGCTTCTTTGGGTTGCACAGTCTTGGATCTGATGACATCAGAAATCTCGAGGTTGAGCGCAATGTCCTCCCTACACACGAATACATGGCCAAGGTCAGTATCCATAAAGTTTACGGACAGGAGCGACGCATCGCGTGACTTACAGGCTGCTGCCGGTGGCTCTGTCAATCTGCTCGTCCAAGGCCGTGTTGGCCGAGGAAGACCACCATCCTCCCATCATTTTGGCGGTGGTATATCGCGGACGGACGGCCTCGTCGTTGTTCAGCGCGAGCTCGATGTAGGCGTCGCAAGTTGTGGCGTCCCTTCAGGACTGCGTATGGAAAGTCGTGTCGTTGAATAAATGATAGCAACCTCGGAAAATGTAGTTTGGGTGGTCGTGTTTGCTCTGAAGTTTGCTGCAGTGATGATTGGTCTTTGTGCTTGTGATTGCGCGGCAACAAGGCAGCACTTTGCAATGTAATGACCGTAATATGCTGCAAGCAATGAGGCTCGAGCATGAACTACAGGGATATCTTCCGCCTGAAGCTAGTGCTAAGCTCTGAGCTTTAGGCCCCCGGTTTGAGGCCGACCCACCGAAACCACCCAGCCCAAACCGCCCGCTTTCATTCGGTTTGGCGCCCAAGTCCCGCTGCACGACGTCAGCCCCCTCGACTGACACCTCTTACCGTAGATGGATGGATTTGTACCTTGTAGGCAACCTTATGACATTCATGTTCCATCCAGACACGATTCAGGGTCTTTTCAGCAGATATTCGTGAATCACTTTACTTTTTTCTATCCCCTGATACTGTTCAAACTGCATCGGTTCCCTCGTCTGTCGGTGATCTGAGATGTCCGCATCTTGCTTGTAGATTACGCGCAGGCGTCTGCCGCTATACCCACCTATACTGAAGCGAGAGTCATTCGTTGTAGGGTGACCTCGGCCACCGCTCACCGGACATCGCGAAACACAAGAATGCTGTCTCTTGACGAGAACATCCCCCACGAATACAAACACGACGATACCTAGAGCAGGACTATCGTGTCCTCGCCCTGCTATTACTACGCCCATCGACATGATATGACTGTGATGGCTACACCTACTAATGGCCACCATGGCCCAGGGCGGAAAGAGCCATATCCTCACGTCGACGACTTGACCTCTGTCACGGTGGACCTCGATCCGCACACGCCCCTGCGCAAGGTTCTCGAGACCGGTGATGGCTGCATGCGCCAGGCCCTCACATTTAGCGATTTTGGGCGCAAGGACCTTGCCCTGCGCGAATATATCAAGGCATTCACCATCGCCGTCGAGAACATCCCGAAACATAAAGACTATCCGTCCGTCAAGAACGATCGCAGCGATCTGGGAAGACTATATGTCGCCCTGAAAACAAACCTCACGAAACATTCAGCACGATTTGACCGAATCAAGGCCGAAATTCGGGAAGATAATAAAAAAAGCGGCGTACAACCGAGAAGCAACTCCGATGCCCTTCTCATGAACCTGCCCAGCGCACCTACAACTCTGCCGGGTCGCCATAAAGCAAGCAACAGCGTCAATGGAATCGGTTCATTTGGCTCTAAGCCACCAACGCCATCGCCGGCAAGCGAGACTCTGGGGCACAGAAGGAACGGGAGCATGGCTTCACCTCATAAGAATAGGCCTCCAATTCAGCCAAAGCCCCAAGCGCTGCATGGAAATGCGATCAAACCCGCAACGAACGGCGTCGGGCAAGATTTGGCAAGCCGATTTGCGAAATTGCGGGTAAATCAAGATGCTTTGGCAGGCACACAAGTTGGCCAAGGAAAGCCAACAGGGCCCAGAGACATGCCAAGTCGACCGCAAGTGAACAGCGCTGTCCCTACTATGCCGAAGATGCCCGACGCAATATACAGCCCAGCGCGAGGTACAGTCACCAGTGAGGTGGCAGACCTTCCGTCAAGCACGCCGAGAGGAATGTTTAGTCGAACCAACTCGATCGCGTCAGTTGCGCCATCCTCGGCCAGGAACTCTATTGATATTGGCGTACGACCTTCAACGACGGAGCCCTTCTCATCGACAAACACTCCAATGAATGGTCCCACGGCGACACCCGCTTCACCACGGATTCGGATTCCAGCAGGTCCTACCATTGGGCCCGAGGAGCTACGGGAATATATGCAAAAAGGAGCCAACGTGATTCGAATGCTACTGATAGACGTCCGAAGCCGGGAGGAATTTGACGATGGCCACATCATGTCACAAAATACAATCTGTATCGAACCTTCTGTGCTCAGTCGTGGGCACATTTCCGCGGATGACATCGAGGAGAGCATGGGCATCGCGCCGGATGAAGAAATGAGAGCTTTTGAGAACCGCGCCAAGTTTGATCTTGTGGTTTTGTACGATGAAGATTCTGTCATTTTGCCAGGTCGTCCCGTTGAGGACGATCAAGCAACCGCACTCTTCACATTATACCAAGGCTTGGACCAATTCAACTACGGGAGGGAGCTCAGAAACAAGCCAAAGCTACTACGTGGTGGCGTAGAAGCATGGGCAGACATGTTTGGACGACACAGTCTACAGGAGTCCAAAACATCTGTAGCAGTCAGAGATGGTAAAACTCGTACCAATCTTTCCCGCTTCAGGCCAGAATATCGACGAAGAGGACGAGCCAGAGCTCAGACGAAGGCTCTGAGACCAGAAGAAATCAAGGAATTTGAAAAGAAAATCAAAGAGGACGAAGCAGCAGCTAAATCGCCACAAGATTTTGTAAGATCTACAGCAGACTTCCTTCGCCGTTACCCGTCCGCATCGGAAATCCAACAGTCGATGACAGCTCCAGTCATCGACACTCAAACGCCCTTCGAGACAGATCTGCCACCGGCTCCCCCTGCTCGGCCGGCACCATCTGTCCCGCGGACCAGCTACAGCGGTCTCACCAGCAAGACTGCTGCAGATGAGGTCACTCCAGGTAAGGCTGCGCTGACGGACTCGCCTGCGAGAGACCGACCTACTGGCCTCATCAACCCACACATGAATTGTTTCGCCAACTCGGCGATACAAGCTATACTGGCCTCCCCTGGCTTCGCCACGGAACTCGCAAGGAAAGAATGGGCTAATCAATGGAAACCTGCCGTTCCGACACCTCAATTGATGTCTAGAATACTGGGTAATTTGATAGAGTGGCTTGCTGGTAGGCAGTTTGAATCAATGCAGCCAACAACATTCATGGTAAGAATCCAATTCTCATATGTATATTTGCGCCCATGACTGACAAGAGAGCAGAAATACTGCCAATCTATACATCAAGGGTACCGACTGCCTGGGTCTAACAGACTCTTCAAGTTTGGTGATGGAACTCAGCACGACTCTTCCGAGTTCCTATTCGATTTCGTCTTTTCCCAGTTGGACAATGAGACGAATCGCAGCCGCGACACGACTTTTGTCAACTACTCGCAGCCAGGCGAGGATCTGAAGAAGGCAAACAAGGAAAAGGCCCGGTTTTTATCGCCTACGGATCTTGCTATTGAGTCCTGGCGACTGTACACGTCATTTCGTGACACGATAATGACTTCTTATTGGGGCGTGTTACACGTGGACAGGAACATCTGCCAAACATGCCACGATTCCGTCGACAGCTTTGGCTACTCCAACTACTTGGACCTAGGCATCTCAGGCTCCGATCATGACCGATACTTGACCCTGAGAGAGTTGCTGGACGAGCAATACAATACCACAGAGCTCCGCCGAGCAGATGGAGGGATTGGCTTTGAATGTGGTTCTGAGAAGGGCGAACAACACATGTGCAAAGAAGCGTTCACAAAGCTTGCACGTCTCCCACCACTTCTTGCCATTCGCTTCAAGAGATGGGATCACAGCGGAGCCAAAGTCCTGCGCAAAATCAAGTTTGAGGTTGAGAATTTGGACTTGAGCAAGTACACCCTGGACCATTCTGAAAACAGCAACGCGGTGAAATTCGATGGTTTCGGCAAGGAGCACCTCTATGATCTCTATGCCGTCATCACGCATGGAGGAGCATCATCCAATGGAGGACACTACATTGCCCACGTCCGCGACAATGCCGACAAGGAGGGCGTGCGTTGGTTCGTCTGCAATGACAAGGACGTTTACAAGAGAGTCGTGGGTTCGCGGACCAATACTCCGCTCGAGAGAGATTGGTACGATTGTGCCAACAAGTTTACACCATTCGTAATCTTTTACAAGCGAAAGGACATCCCGTGGTCCTATGCCAAAGCTATGCCGGGTCTCAAGTAGAGCCTGGGACCTGCAATGAGTCAGCCAATGTTGATCTCACAGGTTGCTATTTTCACATGACTGGAGGACTTTTTAGAAAATACAGCCCACTGAATGAGCATAATTGTAGTGCAAATGAGGGAGGAAGAAAATTGTCGGTCTGCTCTCGTCTATACCTTTTGTTTCAGATAGCATATAGCGAGCGCGTTGCATTCTGCGGCGTTCGGGCCCGGAACCAAATACATAGTAATACGTCTTATCCTGTTAGCATGCTGCCCGGGATGAGTCAAGAGATCACCTTCAGCTTCTGCAGACCACATAGTTCTGTGTCGCCTTTGCTGGGACAATGTGCTTGCAAAATATCATCAGGCAATGACTTCACTGGCGAGTCTGCACACCATGTCTTACTAAGACAGTATGAACTCAATCTAAGTTCAATATGCTTTATGGGTGTTCCGTCTCGCTGTCCTATATCTACATGCCTTGCGCCAGATCAGATCATATGCCAACGCCGCGTCAATCAAATGCAATCCTGTATAACGCTCAACAACTCCACTACCCCGTACTCTAATATAACAATACATCTATCCTCTAAAGGCCGCCTCGATCTCCTTTTCGTAGTGTTGTTGCAACTTTCGTCTATTCACCTTGTGTGTGGCCGTGACAAGATTCTAATTTAGAGTCAGTACGCTTACGATTATAGTAAAAATTGTTTTGAAGGGGGGGAATTGGATGATAGGGTGGCAATCGAACCCTGAAGAAACTCACATTTACTGGTGTCCACTCGTCGTCGACAATGATGACGTTACTAATCATCTCCAGTCCGCTCAGACCTCCTCTCTTGGCAGCATCAATCAAGTCCTTCAAGACGGCGTCCTTGACTTGCTTGTCGTGGTACATGCTCTTCTCGTCCACGCCCAGGCTCTCGGCGAGCTCCGTGAGGTGTTTCTCGTTGGGGCTGACAATGGCAATGGCTCGGGGGTGCGACGAGTCGCCGTGGACCATCAGGTTCTGCACGAATTGGCTGCCTCGATAGATGGCCTCGACCCTTTCGAGCGCAATGTACTCTCCGCCCTGCATCTTGACGAGGTTCTTGACGCGATCAATGACCTTTATGTGTCCGTTGGAGTCAATCTCACCAATGTCACCTGTCTTGAACCACCCGTCGGGCGTGATGGCCTTTTTCGTCTCTTCGGGGTTTTCGTAGTACCCCTTGAGCACGGGCTTGCCTCGCAACAGGATCTCACCCTGCGGCGGTGTTGAGGCGGTACTATAATTCAGCTCCGGAAGGCTAACGAGCTTGAGCTCGACAGCACTCGGCACGGGACCGATGGCGTGAGGTGTCCATTGTAGCGGCGATCCCAGGGCACCGCTGGCGCAGGTTTCGGTCAGACCGTATCCAGCGATCATTGGCGCGAGTACCATGGACATGAAATGCAACGTGCCCTGGGAGATTCCAGATGCACCATTAAATATGAAGCGTAATCTACCTCCCGTCATTTCCCGGACCTTGCCAAAGACCACATTGTCCAAGAGAGTGGCACCAGGAAGGCCATACGATACCAAGGTAGACTTGAGATTGTAGGCACCCCAGAACATGGCCTTGGTAATAGCAGCAGCAGAGTTGACTTTGGCCTCGACGCCCTTTCTGACCGTCTCCCATACCTGGGGAACGCCAACCATGGCAGTGGGTTTCAGCTCCCGTAGGTCACCAGCACAGTTGCGCATACTCGTGTCCGTCAGCGTGCGGTGCGAACCGTATCCTAATGTACCTCCGACAAAGATGGCCAGGTTCTCGAGGCAGAGTTCAAAGATGTGCGCCAGGGGCAGATAAGCAAGTACGACGTCGTCAGAGGAGATGGCCTCTTCGACGTTGCTGTGAAGACCTGCGATTGATGCGATAATGGCCTCGTGGGTGATGGGCACGCCCTTTGGCGGACCGGTCGAACCAGATGTGTACATAATGCAGTATAGGTCGGAAGGCTTGGGGGCCACTGGTGCCGTCGGATTCGCTTCGCCCAGCGCACGGAGCTCGCTGAACGAAATGACCTGCAATTGGGGATGCGCCTCTTTGAATGAGCTCAGTTCCGAACCGCTCATGGGCATGAGCGATTCGTCATTGTAGATGAGGACCTCGACGTCTTTTGCGGACTTGAGAGCAGCAGATGCTGTCTTCAGCAGTTGGGGATCGGTATACATGGCCTTGGCCTTTGTCTGAACCAGGGAATGTTGTACGCCATCGGGTCCCAGGGTATCGTAGGCGGTTGCGATCGTGACCGACTGCGATGAGCAGGCGTGCGAGAGGCAGAGCCAATTCGCGCTCGTGGAAGCAAAAATGTGCACCTTGTCCTGTGGTTCCAAGCCCAACTTGCGTAGTCCGGCTCCGACCTGCAACACCCGCCTCTCATATTCCGTGTATGTGAGGTAGGAATATTCCGAAAGCTCAAAGTACTGCCACTCCTTGTCCACTTTTGTCGTTTGTCCGTCGACAATCTTTTCCACCTTCTTGACTTCCTTGTGTATCTTGACGAGTTGTCTCGAGCCTATGGCGTGCAAGTCGGCATATTTCCCGGTACTGTGCTTCACCAGCTCGAATATCGTGGAGACATTGGGTGCAGGCTTCTCAATGAGGCCGTTCTTGGCCTTGATGTTTCGGTAGGGAGCAGTCTCGCCATCTTTGGCCAGCTCGCCCGGTGATTGGATCGAGTAGGGCGGCTGTTGGACGAGGTGTAGAGGTGTAACACCATGTTTTTGCGTTGGTAGACTCATGGTAAACGAGCAGTCGCTGTCAATGAGCGTGACAACACAAGGTGAAGGAGGAATTAATTTTGGTTGCGCAGTGAGTAGGTATGTCACCAAAGTGACGCGGCAACACGGACGCTGCGCTACAGGCAAGCAATCACGGCAGGGCGGAACGGGTGGATTTTCGTATCAATGCGCGGAGCCACTCAAGATAGCATTACTCTGAGCAATGATGTCATGAGCTCGATACCCTCAAAATGAACTCCCTGGAATTCGTGTACGGCAAACAGTGTTCTATCAACGCATGCAGTCAGTAAGGTAGTCATCCAAATGTGAAGCACTTTTCAGTCTGCAGATACTGTATACCTGACTGAGCTATAAAGTCATAGCATCGGTCCAGAATAACAATGTTGTTGCAAGTGACACTACTAACCTTTATGGAAAGATCAAGGGTATCTATTGTAATGCACCCTTTTTGGCGCCTACCTATTGGAGGTCTCCAGGGTGATCAGCGCCAGGGGACTCTACTAGCGGTTCATATGCAGGGGCTAATAGTATATCAAGGCACCTACTAGTAGTGTGACCGTACGTAGTATGTGCCTGGAGTATCTTCAAGGCTCGAGACTGGAAAGCGGAAAACAGTGTTATGATATCATGAGACTCGCATTCAACGCAATCTCCCATCTGGAACGACCAGAGGTATCATTTTATAGAAAATTGCTCCGTGTTTAATTCTGTCTTCTCAGGGTCAGACGCAGCGACTTGGAATGTAGCCTTCGGCGTCGCTCCAAACTCCACAAGCGTTGCTGTTCAGCCACTCAGGTGCCAGCTAGCAGCTCGATGAACCGAGGCATGTAAGCTCATGCGCCGCTGAAGCCGACGTGTCCACGAGTCACCATGACTTTTTGTTGAGCAACCCCTTCAAGTATCATCATCGTCATGCATATTGAATCATGGCAAATGAAGACTGGGGGCTGCTCGACACCAGACTGCCATCCACAGCGGTGGCTAGGGACAATCAGCCCCCCGATCCCCGTGCCAGCGCGAGCCGGAAGGTTCATAAGCCAAGTCTCCGGTCCCAACCAGTCGATATCTACAACCACCTACACGGTTGCGCATATGTAGATCAAAGCGTCGACTTTGTATGGGAAGCTCTTGTCGTCTGTTCATAAGTCTGACAATAGTTATACACCATGTAGACATGGGACCTCGAGTACATCTGTAGTAATTCTCTCCAAGCCAAGTTCCTAGGCATCCGGCTGTCATGATACAATACTTTTGCCGATGAGGTTCGCCTCCTGACATCTAGTTCAAATAGCAATCTATACTATTTCAGGTAATGTATACAAAACATTCAAAGCTTACCCAGGTACTCAGGGTGGCGAATTTGTCTACCAGAAGTATTTTAACTCAGTGCTTGATTGTCTTCGGGACGTATAGGCAGGGCACAACTAAGGATCTTCCTCTAGGATAGCGACAAAAAGACAGTTCAGCTATTTTTATTTCGTTTTGTTTTATATGCTTTGCGTACTATTAGTAAGAATTATTATTCGTTGATTCTTCAAATATCTGTATATTAAGCCCGTTATCGTTCTCATCGACACCTAAATCTTACATGCTGCTCCTGGTGACAAATTTCTGTGAGCACGGTGAGTACGTATAATGTCTCGAGATATAATTAATTGCTATTCACTTGATAAGATTAATAACAAATCATATAAAAATCATCGATACACCGTTAATTGAAGACGGTAGCGCGTTCGGTGTATAATCTCTTGGACGCTAACACTTATTATTGAGATGGTTGCATTGGGAGGCACGCATATTTCTTCAGTAATGAACCAACCGCTCAGCGTATTACCGTTTGAGAAAGTATACTCAAGTGCTCGGAAACATTGATAATTTTTTTTTTTTTTTTCACGGAATGCGCAAGGAATATTTACGCAGGTGGGCCATATTGTATGAATAATGACAACCACGATCTAGGCCTTCGAAGTTTCTTTAGCTATACAAGATGTCTCATCTCTGTTACCTGTGCATGTGATTGACTTTCTGATGGTAATTTCGAGATTTTGGGCCGTCGGTTTTGCAGATAATAGCGGTAGGTGGGATATGAATGAACACATCATCTCTCGGGGCACTTACGTAGAAGGCATACTTCTCCCGAAACGAATCTAGATTCATATGCAGTTGTTAGCCCTAGAACATCATTTTCATGAGAAGTTAAAAAACAGCATTTCACTTGCTCGATGAAAGTTTTCCTTTCCCGCACTGAGCTCGAACCGGGTTCTCGGATATTGTGATCCAAAAGGCAACCACATGATGTCATACCCGCTCCAGGACACGATGTTCATTAGATTCAAAGTTAACAACCGTGGCGATCATCATGGTTCCCTCGAAGAAGATTTCGCAAGCCATAGTCACACACAAATCAAGGAGAGAGGGTCATGATAAGATCCCAACTTGGACTTCACGTTTGTGACATCAAGATTTAGAAAATCATATGAAAATTATCACACGTTCAGTGTTTAGAATACACAGATTTGAGATGAAAGAACGGCACATAAAACAATGCGACCAAGTTACTATCGGCTCATAATTACCTAATAGGTAAGGGAGGAACAATGTTGCTTTGAACATCTATTCAAGTTAGTTCTTTCCTTAAAAGTGGCACATATCGATGTTGCCTTAAAACAACTTAGACACCGTTGAAGATTTGTTCAAATTGACAGGGCCGTCCTTTATTGGGGGGCCGTCTAGAGGAGATTTGGCTTCGCTTCGGCCTTTCCGAGAGCCGAGCTCATATGACTTTCATGTATCCAAGAGTTTTTCTCGTCTTGCTCAATCAACAGGATCATCGGAGATGCTCTCCTATCCAGGACTGAAATTGGATTTTTGTCTTGGACGCTGCTAAGTTGACCAATCGATGGGTCATGCTTTAGCCATGCTTTTCTACCTGCATGTACATCGCCACTCCTAGAGGTATGAATATATGACTTGGTTGGTGACCTTGATCTCGTTGCCCATTGAGGTTGTTGGAACCAGATCATGGAACTGAGGTTGGTTGTCCGACTCCTTGCCTGCGTGGGATCTCTTGATACTTTTCAAACTGTTAAAAGTTCATTGTGACTAATCCCAAGAATGCAAATGCTTCATGTCCTCTGATCGTTTAGAAACAGGCATTGAAAGGATCGCTGGATCCTGGCAGTGCAAGGACTTAGCATCGCCTATTCCATCATCTCACACCAACATCAATCCATCTCGGTCCCGGCCGAAACCGCTGCAATGCGCAAACAGAATAAAAAGAATATTTGGGGAGTCTACTTCTACGAACCATCTCTCATAGTGAATCAATTTGTCATTCAGTTGATCGCCGGAAACTACATTTGGCATGCCTGTTATATACCATGGCATTTTTCTAATTTTAATAAGAAGAATGGAGAGAAAGAAGAAAACAGGAGTAGCTTCTCTAATCCTTCGGGTACGTAGATGATCACAGGTTGTTCTGCACCACGAGTGCCCATGTTGATATCTTCCAAATTCAGGATGGTGCAGCAACGTATTTCCATATAGTTTATATCAAATCCTTATTATTTATTGATTTTCTCAGATCAGTTGTGCAATTTACTTTGCCAAATATGTCATTGGGGTGCTTTGTGCCGAGCAACTGTCCTTCCAATAACGAAAGGCTGGATGAGGATATGGCTGCAACTACATTCCTCTCAGCGTGCCACTTTCTTGGATTCTTGCTCCTTTGTGATCCTCACAAGACGTGCAACCATTAAGCCTAGGCGCGATATTGGTCCACAAGAGGCTTTTATAGCATTTTCTAATGTAGTCGTTGTTACACAAACTTGCAATCATGTCATGAGTCAATCTGTTGGCCGTCTTTTCGTACCACAGCAGATCACACTTCTCTAGGTGCTTTCTCTGAGCCTCACATGAGCAGACTCTAGGATTCACAAGCTTTGGACCATCACCAATAGTCAGTCAACAAGATTTAGAAAAATTCAATACATCCTTGCAGGCAACAGTACTTGCATTGTTTTGTCTGTGGCATTTTACCAAACAACCATCACAATAGTTGTGCATTCTTACCTAGTTTGGGGGTGGTAAGCCTCATTTATGAATAGAAATATGTATTACAGCATGGCACTTTGGGATGAATTAGATCACAGAATACTAGATCAGGCACCGTCATCCACCACTATTCAATACGTCGAATATTGCGTGTTTACAAACGGCCAACAACCAGGCCTCAAAATATTAAAATTAAAATCACAATTAAAATTGAATAAACGACTAGACCCCCGCAGGATGAGGATCGCTTTGGCTTTGCCTCACAATGCTTTTCATGGGGTCGGCGGGTACTCAAACTGCCCTGCCGCGATGATTGCTATTCAAGGGCACAAAATCTACCCGGGGCGGTTGCGACGGACCTGATTTTCATGTCGGACAGCCGCATCGCCGGTTCGCCTCGCCTCCCGGAGTGCCTCGATACCGCTGCAAGGGCACAACGCACATTTTCCATAGCCGCGCTTCAAAACCAAAACAAACCCAAACAAAATTAGAGTCCTCTCGGATAAGGACAGCTCCTCCTTCCCGGCGCGTCGCTGCGGATTCCCGACTCCCTTGCTTCATCATTGGCTGTACAGCCGCGTTCCTAATCTCTTGTAACGCCCAGCGGGCGGTATTGAAAGGGAACAAAGTAAGCAGGGGGGTCCTTTAACCAAGATTACCATATGCCAAAATTAGGCGTGCGCCAAAAGTAAGCACCTTAATTGGATGCTCAATCGCGCGGCGCGGCTGCTGTGAGCCCCCCAGACAGGAGGATCTGCATGGGGGAAAACGGGAGCGCGCAGACACAGGCGAAGCGAGCGCTTACATACATTTTTGTGAAATTTGCTTTTTCGTTTCCTTTTCCCCCTGTGTACCAAGTAATTTTTTTTTTAATTAACGTCTTTGCTGGAAATTAGTAATTACTGCTGCAGACTGCCGCCCTGTGAGAAAGTCTGAAACATACAGGC